TCACCGGAATCCGAGTCTTCTTCGAACGCGCCGGAATCCGCCGGCGCGTCCTCCGAGTCGGAGCCGGCGGCGCACGCGTCGTCCTTCCACTCGCAGCCCCTCTTGCCGGCCACGCGCTTCGACTTGCAGTCCCGCTTCGCGTCGATCTCCTCGCACTTGACCTTGCGGCAGGCCTCCGTCGCGAAGCTCCACTGGCAGAAGTTGTGGTACTTGGACTTGCGGCAGTTCTTCTTCGCGAGCGAGCCGCACGCCTTCCGCTTGCCCTTGCACTTCTTCTTGCCCTTGCTCCAGGAGCACGTGCTCTTGTAGGCGGCGCTCTTGCACACCTTGCGGTTCGTGATCTCCGAGCACTTGACGGCGAGCGCGCGAGACGCGCCGCCGGCGACGATCAACGAGAGAAGGACGCCGAAGTTCGCGAGGGGCGCGCGCATGGTCCGCGGCCTGGCGGGGGCGGGGGTCGGGCGGTGCGCGGCCGGGGGGGGGGGGGGTCGGAGGGTCTCTGCGCGTTCCCCCCGGCGTCTGGCGCGTCGCCGGCGCGTTCCGAGAGGTCGAGAGCCTCTTGGGCGAGTTCGGCGGCGCCTTCGGTCGAGGGCGTCGGTCGGGGGGTCCTGGGCGCGTCGCCAGGCGCGCCGGAGGGGTCGGGGGTAGGTCGCGCGAGGAGCCGGGGGCGGCGTTGGGGGCGGCGCGGGTATGGGGCGCCGGCGCGCGCCCAATCTGTTGCTCGTGCGTCGTGAAATTGGCTTGGCCCCTGAGGTGCGCTCGGCGGCCGACTTATTTGCGGCGCGGCGACGAGGCCGCGCGTCGCTTCGCGACTTGCTTCGCGACTTGCTTCGCGATCCCCCATAGACTCGCACGAAGAGGGGGGCATTAAGAATCGCAGAGGCCGCGGCGGGGACGTCGCGGCGTCGGGGGCGCGCGCGCGGCGCGGCGGGCCGCGGCGGCCGCGGGCCTCGCTCAGTTCGGGTAGCGCTCGAGGAGGCAGGAGTGGCCGATGCCGCCGTCGGCGCAGGCGGCGACGAGGGCGAACTGCTCGCCGGAGCGCTGGAGGCGGTTCGACGCGGTCGTGACGATGCGGCTGCCCGTCGCGCCGAAGGGGTGGCCGAGGCTCAGGCTGCCGCCCTGCGTGTTGACCTGGGCAGGACAAGAGTGATTCAAGTTCGCTTCAACGTGAGTGTTCCGCGCGCGCGCGTTCCGGAAAAATCATCCACGCTTCGAGGCCGTTCCAAGAGATGATCGCTCGTCCAAAAATCAGCCGAAACGAGTGGAAAACGGCCGAGAGAGGAGCCTTTGAAGTTGGGAATTTCGCACTCTTTTCCCGCCCATTGTGTTGACCTTGGCGAAGTCCATCTCGCCGAGCTTCTGCGTGCGGTTCGGGAGGAAGTCCGCGGCGAACTTGTCGCTGTTCATGGCCGCGAAGTTGGACAGGACCTGGCCCGCGAAGGCCTCGTGCATCTCGACGACGCCGACCTGGGCCGGCATCGAATCTTCGACCCGACGTCGACGTAAGCGACTGCGACGGTGTCGACGCGAGGCGTTCCGCCGTGCGTCGAGCACTCGACGAGCGCGATCGATTCGTCCAAAAGCCGGCCGCATCGACGTCGATTCGACCGAGCTCGAGAGGTTTGAAGTTTGGCCGGAAGAACCCGACCGGCGGTCGATTTCGGCGCGGGCGCCGACGTCCTTGAGGTCGAGCTTCGCGTCGTTGAGCACCTTGGAGACGGCGTAGGTCGGGCCCAGCAACAGCTCCTCGAAGGGGTCGACGGCGGCGAAGGTCCAGTGGCGCAGGTAGGCCTTGGGCTTGAAGCCCAGCGCGAGCGCCTTCTCCTCGGACATGACGAGCGTCGCGGCCGCGCCGTCCGTGAGGAAGGACGAGTTCGCCGCCGTGTGCGTGCCCGTCTCGTTCTTGATGAAGGCGGGCTTGAGCTTGGCCAGCTTCTCCGGCGTCGAGCCGGCCTTGATGCCGTTCTCCGAGAGGTCCGCGCCCTGCACGCCCGGCACGAGCTCCTCGGCGTAGAGGCCGTCGTCGTGGGCCTGCTGGGCCCGCGTGTGGCTCATGAGCGTGTAGTCGTCCTGGTCCTTGCGCGAGATGCCGAACTTGGCCGCGAGGCGGTCCGAGCTGTGGCCCATCACTTCTCCCGTCGTGAAGTTGGAGATGCTCGGCGCCTCCGGCGCCAGGTCCTTGAGCTTGAGGCCCTTCAAGAGGCCCAGGGCGCCCGCGGGCCCCTTCTTCAGGGCCTTGGCCGCGCCGAGGAGCCGCTTGCGCACGGGGCGGCTGTAGCGGATCGGCACGTCGGAGAACGTCTCGCAGCCGCCCGCGACGACGACGTCGGCCTGGCCCGCGAGGATCTTCTCGGCGCCCTGGCAGATGGCGGCGTTGGAGCTCACGCAGGCCAGGGTGACCGTGTGGGCGGGCACGTCGATCGGGTAGCCCGCGTGCATGGCCGCCTCGCGGGCGATGTTCGACGTGCGGCTCTCCTGGATGACGGTGCCGTAGAGGACGTAGTCCACGAGGGACGCGTCGAGGCCCGTCTTCTGCATGAGCCCCGTGAGCGACATCTTCGCGAGGTCCACGGCCATGACGTCCTGGTAGATGGTCTGCGACAGCGCGAAGGGGATGCGCACGCCGTCGACGATGACGACGTTCTTGCCCCCCGTGGAGAGGGACCGGGCGCGCGACGACAGCGCGCGCGACGACAGCGACTTGAGGCCTGCGGGGGTCGGGGGTGGGACGCGTTGTTTGCGGGCTCCGGCGACGCACCCAACATTGTGTTGCTTGAGAACACTGTGGCAGAATTGTCAAGTTCAGGTGCAACGCAAACCCAAGATGATGCTGCCCAGATGCGGCATCGCTGCCCGGGCCCACGCGACATTCGAGAAGTCTTTTGCTGCGCGATGGTGTCGATCTTCGCGCGGTTGCTCGCGGCCCTCGTGGTGGGCTTGGCCATTGGTCAGGATCCGACCCTCTCCCCCACCGCCGCCAGCAACGCGACGGCGCCCACCGCGACGCCCGCGCCGTCCGTGGCGGCGGCCAACGCGACGGCGCCGACCGCGACGACGGCGCCGTCGTCCTCGTCGACCACGCCGAGCCCGAGCCTGTCTCCGGCCCCGAGCACCACGTCTCCGGCCCCGAGCACCGCGACCTCCACCGACGCGCCGACGGCGGCCGGCGGCGGCGGCGGCGGCGGCTCCGACGACGACGACGACGGGATGAGCGGCGGCATGATCGCCTTCGTGACCATCCTCTGCATCGTCGTCTTCGTCGCCGTCATCCTCTTCGCCGGCTTCAAGATGCGCGCGGACCGCCGGGGCCTCGGCGAGTTCCGCGAGGGCCTCTCGCCCGGCGCGCAGAACCCCCTGGGCAACGACCGCCTGTAAGCCACGTCGCCGCGAGGACCAGGGCCATAGCCGGGGCCAAGGCCACGCAAGGAGAGAGCAAGGTTACGCCTCGACCTCGTGGCGGCAGACGGGGCAGGTCCGGTGGTCCCGGAACCACGTGAGCAGCGCCGGCTTCTCGAAGCAGTGGCCGCAGGGCAGGTCGTAGACGACGGCGCCCGGCGCGACGAGGGACCGCGTGATGAGGTCCTCGACGCGCTCGCCGGGCCGCACGGCGCGCCGGGGCAGCGCGCGGATCGCCGCGAGGCTCAGGCCCCGTTTGGGCACGTCCTCGTCCAAGCGCAGCAGCTCGTCGTAGTCGTCGCCGCCGGACCGCTCCGCGCGGTGCACGCGCTCCTCGCGGTGGACGTCGCCGCGGCCCGCGCGGCCCCCGCCGCCGCGCCGGGGCCCGCCGAGCGCCGCCGCGCGGCCGCCGGCCTCGAGGCGCGGGGCGCCAAAGGCCGCGTCCTCGCGGTCCATCGCACCTGCGGTCGCGCCTCGCGCGATGGGCGACCGGCGGCGCGCACGCACCCTTCATCTCGTCGAAGGACATGGCCGCCATCGCGCCCATGCGCGCCATCGCGTTCCGTCGAGCTCTCCCAACGCTGTATTACTTCAGTGCTGTATTTAGAAACGGCCAAGTTGAACTTCAAGTTGACTAAGTTATTGAAGGGGCCGTGCGCCCGCGTGCGCCCGACTGGCGCCCGCCGGTGAGAGGAGCCCGAGAAGCCCGCGGGGGGAACCAAGTTGCCGCCGCTTATTCGACGTCGAGGGGCGGCAGGACGTCGCAGCGCGTGATGAAGTCGAGGAGGGGGAATTCGGCGTCGAGGTAGGCCGCGCCCCGGTTGCGGATCTTGCCGCTCTCCGGCGCGTGGCCGCCGAAGGCGGCCATGTCGCCGTAGCCGGAGTAGAAGCGGTCCAGCGCCGCGTAGCTCGCCGCGCCGACGACCTTCCCGAAGGGCACCTCCCAGGGCGACCGGCCGAGGCCCGTGTCGCGGTAGGTGAAGAAGAACTCGGTCGTCCGCGAGTCCGGGCCGGACCCCGCGAAGGCGAGGTAGCCCCGCTTCATGGGCCGCGGCTGCTTCAGGTCGAGCCACTGCGGGTCGTCTTGCACGCGGCCCTTCGCGCGCCACGCCTTGGACACGGCCACGTCGCCCGCGACGCCCGTCTGGCAGAGGAAGCCCTTGACGGACCGGAACAGGCCCACGCGCGACGAGAAGAAGCCGCCCTCGACCATGTCGAGGAACCGGCGCGCGCCGACCGGCGCCCACTCGGGAAAGACGTCGACGACGACGGGGCCCGCGGTCGTCGCGCAGGCCACGCGCGTCTTCGTCGACGGCGGCTCGGCGGCGGCCGCCTCCGGCCCCGCGGGCAGGCCGGGCACCTGCTGCAGGGGCCGCGCGAGGTACCGCGCGTCCGCGTCCCTCCGCTCGCGCTCGCGGTCCGCGGCCGCGGCGCGCCGCGCCTCCTCCGCGGCCGCGACCGCCGCGTCGTGCGCGCCCTTGCGGAGCACGCCGTCCGTGCTCAGCCACGCGTGCTGCTGGCTCTGGGGCTCGGACTGGGACACGTAGAGCGCGGCGCCGACCATGACGACGAGGAAGGCGACGACGGCGACCTGGAAGCAGGCGCTCTCGCTCTTGTCGCTCTTCTCCTGGCTGTCGTCGTCGTCGGCGGCGGTCTGGCCCTCGACGTCCTTCGCCGGGCCGCGCCGCATATCGCGCCCGCTACGCTGGTTGCGGAGACAAGCGATTGCCAAGCTCTCTCACATAAGCCTCTGCCACACGCTTCGGCCACAGCTCGCCGCGCGCGCCCGCAGCGCCCTTCCGGATGCGCACCCGCGCGCTTACGAGCCGGGCCGCGCGAACCGCAGGATCGACAGGAGCTCGTTGCCTGCGCGGGCGGCCCCGTCATTGCCTGCGCGGCGCCCCTCGCGGCGCGGGCCCGCGGACGCGCGCGCTTCGTGGCGACCGTGGTCCGCTCGAGGCCGTCCGCGGCGAGGATGCGCGCGATGTCGTCCGGGTCGTTCTCCTCGACGACGACGACGTAGAAGCGGCCCCGCGGCGAGAGCGCGCGGGTCACGTCCGGCAGGAGGCGGTCGAGGACCTCGCGGCCTGCGGCGCGGCGGTCGAAATGGCGCGCGGCGACTTCCGCACGCACCGCGGTCGCCGCCGGCCCAGCTCGCCTCGATGCCCGCGCCGCCGACCTCGGCCCGCGGCGTCGGCACGTACGGCGGGTTGAATACGAGGACGTCGACGGAGCCGCGCGCGAGGCACCTGCGGGCGCCGCGTGATGCCTTCCGCGCCGCCGAGGGACGCCGCCGTACGCGCGTCGCGAGGTCGCCGCGGACGACGTCGACGCGCGCGCCGTTCGCCGCCGCGGTCCGCGCGGACAGCGCGCAGGCCCGAGGATTGACGTCGACGCAGACCACGCGCGGCGCCTGCGCCGCGAGCAGCGCGGCGACGTAGGCCGACACGACGCCGCTGCCGGGCCCGACCTCGACGACGGTCGCGTCGCCCAGGGCCCGCAGGGACGACCGCTCGGCAAAGAGGGCGTCGAGGAGGAGGAAGGTGTCCTCCGCCGGCTCGTAGACCGCGTCCCAGTCGGCGAACGACGCGTGGTCCAGCGACGGCACGAAGCCGTCGAGCGCGGCGTCGGACGCGTCCAGTTGTGCTGCCATTATATGTGCACTCAGCGGCGCGACGCGCTCGCCATGCTCTCCCTGCCAAGCTTGAAGCGGCATCAACCTCGGCGTCAAGATGAAGGCAACGACTTTGTCACAAGTTGGGGCAGCCCCGCCGGTTGCTCGCTTGCGCGTCGCAGCGCCTCTCTGCCGCAGCGCCCCGCCATGGTCGAGGCGTCGACGTCGACGGCGCCCGCCGTGGACGGTGCGCCCCGCGTCGACGCGGGCACGGCGACGGACCCGAAGGAGGCGACGCACTGCTTCGACGTGCCCATCGTCGACCTGCGCGACCAGCGGCCGCCGTCGGCGCCGCCGCGGGGCGCGCGCGCGCCGACGCCCGGCGCCCTGGGGAGCCCGGGCCTGCCGCCCGGGGCCCGCGAGGGCATCTACGGCGGCGACGACCTCGCGGCGGGCGGCGCGGGCCTCGGCGCCATGGACCTCCGGGGCCTCACGCCGCGGTCCGCGGCCGCGCGGCCGCCGCCCCCGCCGCACGGGAGCCCGGCGGCTTCGGCGGTCCGCAACGCCCCGGAGAGCCCCCGGAGCCCGGCGTCGCCCGGCGGCGGTTTCGGCGCGGAGCTCAACGTCTGCGACCACTGCGGGAAGAACGGCGCGGAGAAGCGCTGCGGCCGCTGCTGGACCGCGCGCTATTGCGGCGAAAACTGCCAGCGCGAGGCCTGGCTCACGCACAAGACGGCCTGCCGCCGGCGGCCGAAGCCCAGCGCGGACGAGGACTTCTCGCGGAAGCACGGGCCCAAGATCGACGGCGTGCCCGTCGCCGCGACGACGACCTTCTCGCTCTGCGCGCGCTGCCACCGCTTCGACCAGACCAAGGAGCCCGAGCAGCTCCTCGGCGTCTTCGCGATCTCGGGCAAGGAGGTGCTCGCCGACGACTACGGCGGCGACTCGTCGGAGCACCGCGGCCGCCACACGTGCAAGGAGCGCGGCGTCGAGCGGACCAAGTGGAAGTGCGTCTGCAAGGGCTGCAACCGGGCCTGGTTCTGCCTCAAGTCCGTCGACCCGGACGGCGTCTTCGACGCGGAGCTCAAGTGGACGGCGAACCTCGAGGCCTTCAAGAAGTACGACCGCGACCTCGCCGAGATCGACCCCCGCGACCCGCGCCAGGAGGGCGGGCCCCGCATGAAGGTCTAGGCGCAGAGCGACCTTAGGGAGCGGGCTCCCGAGCGATCGCGGCGCCACAAACAACAGGGGGGAGGGGGGGGGTTCTTGCGCGCTTCGCGGCGCCTCAGCGCACCTTCGGCGAGCGCGGCGGCGCGGCGATGCGCGTCGCCAGGCGCAGGTCGCCCCGCGGGCTCAGATGCACGGCGACGTCGCCGTCCGCGTAGACCGCGTCGAGCGCGCGCGGCAGCGAAACTTCCAGGTTCCGCCACCGCGGCGCGCAGGCGGCGTCGCCCCGCGCGAGCATGCGGCCCACGGCGAGGCACTCGTCCGGCACGGCGAGGCGCGCCCGCGTGCGCCGCCACTCGGCGCCGAACGTCGCGTCCGCGACGGCGACGTCCAGGTCCTCCGCCGCGGCCCACCTGCGGGCTCTGGGTTCCGGGCGCGCCCCGAGCGGTCGCGCGCGCGCGGGGGGGGCGACGCACCGGCAGGAGCGGCTCGCGAGCGCCGCGCCGCGCCGCCGCGCGCCGAGGCGCGAAAGGATTCCTTCGAAGGTGTGGCCTTCCCGGCTGCTGGTGCCACTCTTCTGGCGACTGACGCAGATGTCGATGAGCTCCGCGATGTCCGCGGCGCGGCCGTCGATGCCCGGCGCGACGGCCGTGGCTATCAACGCCAGCCAGGGCACGACTCGCCGCACGACCATGCCGTGACCGGCCTTCTTTGGCTCGTGTTTGGATGCGATGTGTTCGCTTAATTTTAATTATACGCTTCAAGTTTCTATAAATTGAAGCGCGCTAATTGTGTGAGGCTTGTGCGCGGATTTGTGGGCGCTCGCGCTCGCACCGGTGGACCTGGATGCGCGACGGCACCCACCGTCGCCGACGAGAAGACCACGACGACCGTCGAAGAAGAGGAGTGACTACAGAAGACGGCCGCTTACGCGGCTCACAGGTCGCGGCCCCGGCGCGTCGCGGGGCCGCCGCGCGGGCCGCCGGGCGGGACCCGCGCGGCCGCCCCGGCGCCGCGAGGGTGCGCGAGGACTCCCTCCGCCGGAGCACGATGTGGAGCCGAGCCGAAAGGGACGGGGAAAGCGCGAGGGGACGAGGCGAACGGGACGCGGCGGCGCTAGAGCTCCGAGTGGAGCTCCGCGTAGAGCTTCGGCGACGGCGTGGGCGCGTCGTCGCCGTCGATGTCGTCGTCGCCGCCGATGGCGACGGAGCCGTCGACGGAGAGGACGACCTCATCCTCCTCCTCCTCCTCCGCGAAGGTCTCGACGAAATCCTGCGCGAACGCGCCCTTGCCCTCCATGAGCTCCGTGAACTTGCGCGCCTTCTTGTGCTCGATGACGGCGTCCTTGATGTTCTGGTTCAGCGAGATGACGTGCGTCTCCCACTCGGCGTCGTTGCCGTGGTTCTCGAGCCAGATGAGGCCGATGGGGCTGCTCTTGACGATGTCGATGTCGCCGTCGCCGTCGAAGTCGATGGGATGCATGCTGCTCGAGCCGGGCTGGCACCACCCTCTCCAGAGGAGCAGCGACCCCACCAGGGCCCGGAGCATGGCGGCGATCTGGCGCGCGTCCACGCGGCCGCCAGACGGCGAAAAAATAGTCGGCGCCTTCCAACAAAAAGGAAACATCTTTCATTGAACATTTGGGGCAGCCCGATGTTCTCGCGCGCGATGCCGTAGCTCGCCCAGCATGGCGGCCCACTACGTACGCCTCGCCGTCGCCCTGGCCTCCATCGACGCCCTCGTCTACACGCCGCCGCGGAACATCAGCATGTACGACGCGTGGCTCTACGTCGACGACGGCGCGTTTACGGCCTACTACCTCGCGAAGCCGGCGAACGCGTCGGGGTCGGGCGCGAAGCCGGCCTGGGATAGGGTGATGACGATAACGTCCGACGACGGCGCAACCTGGTCCGACGCCGGCGTCGCCGTGGCCAAGGCCCCCGGCGCCAAGTGGCTGGGCTCCGGGTCCGTCTGGCGAACCGGCGACGCGTTCGTCCTCAGCTACTCGCAGGAGGGCTACGGCTGCGCGGGCGACCCCGGCGGCGGGCCGACGGGCGACCCGACCTGGTGCCAGTCGCTCTTCTTCGCGACGGCGCCGACGCCGCGCGGGCCCTGGACGACGACGCCGGCCGGCGCCTTCCCCTACGGCGAGGGCTACGAAATCGGCGGCCGCTGGGACTGCGTCGCCGCGCTCCGCGACGGCGACGGCGGGGTTTATGGGTATTGGACGGCGTCGCCGCGGGACGGCGGCTGCGACTCCTGCGGCGCGGGCTTCGGGTACTCGAAGGACGGCGTCACCTGGGCCGCGCGGCCGACGCCGGGGCCCGAGATCAAGGGCGAGGTCGGCGGCGTCGCGCGCGCGGGGGGGCGCGTCGTCATGCTCTTCGACGCGGGCCGCGCGTTCTGGAGCGACGCGCCCGCGGGGCCCTTCGCGGCCGCGGCGCTGAACCCGTCGTTCCTCGGCCAAGCGCTCGGCGCGCGGTTCCCGCGGATCTGGGGCTCCGACGTGACGGGCGGCCCGCTGTTGGCGACGCACCACCAGATGACGGGGCCCGACTGCTCCGGCGACGGGGGGTTGGAGTGCCCCGTGTACCTGGGCCTCGTGAAGCGGGCGACGCTCGGCGCCGACGGCGGCCTCCGGGCGACGTGGTTCGAGGGCAACGACAACCTCCGCGGCGAAGAGCTCGCGCGCGTCGCCGACGCGGACCTGGACCGGGGCCTCTGGCTCGAGGGCACGCTGGGCGCCGGCGGCGGCTTCGCCGTCGGCCTCGCGGGCGGCGGCGGCGACGCCGCCGTCGTGGTCCTCGCAAACGGGTCCTTCGCGCTGGGGCTTACGAGAAACGGCGCCTGGACGGCGCCGCCGCACGTCGTGGACCGGTCCCTGGCGCCGCCGTCGAACGCGACGTGGCGCGCGCTCGTCCGGAACTCGGCCACCGGCTTCGGCATGCTCGAGGCCTACGTCGGCGGCGTCCTGGCGCTGCCCTGGACGCTCCCCGGGCCCGCCGCGCCGCGCGCCGCGCCCGTCGGCGCCGCGACGCTCGACCGCGCCTATGAGCTCCGCGCCTCTTAGACGTGGCGCTCCGGCGCGTAGGGCGACGGCGCCTCCGCGGTCCGCGCGGCCAGGTCCACCGTCGCCGCGAGCCGCGGCGCGACGTCGGGCGTCTTCGACGACGGCGCGAAGCACGTGAGCGCGTCCTCGAGGTCCGCCGCGTCGACGCGCGCGAAGGCCGCGAGGCGCCCCACCAACCCCGTCGCGTCGCCGGAGTAGTGCGCCGCGACCAAATCCTCGTAGTCGAGCCAGCGCCAGTCCTTGGCCGGCGCGGCGCAGGCGTCGCAGAGCGGCGACAGCGGCCGCCGCGCGCACGCGTCGCAGAGCCGCGGCTCCCGGAGGAAGTCGCAGACGTAGCGCGCGAGCGCCGCGTTGCTCTCCGCGTGGCGCCCGAAGCTCCCGTCCCACTCGCGGTGGCTCCAGGCCGCGCGCACGGGGTCGCGCCGGAGGACGAGATACTTCGCCTCGACGAAGTCGAGCGTCGCGAAGGCCGCGTGCCAGTCGTCCAAATTCACGGAGTCGCCCGGGTGCGGCTCGTCGCGGTCCGCGGCGGCCTGTGTCGAAATCAAATCTTCAACCCGACTTCAATGTGCGCGTATGCGACCGTTTCGACGCGAGGCTTTCTGCTGTGCTTCGAGAACTCGACGAGAGCAATCGATTCGTCCAAAAATCAGCCGAATCGACTTCGATTTGATTGAGATAGAGAGTTCTGAAGTTTGGTGGGGACCCCCCAAACCAGTGGTTGGAATCCACACAGGCGGCGGCGCTCGCGAAGCGCGTGGACGCGCCCGCGCGGCCCTCGGCCGTGCCCCAGGGGAAGGACGCGAACTCGAAGACGACGCAGGGCCGGCCGCGCGCCGCGAGCGGCGCGAGCAGCGCCGCGACGGCCGCGCGGCGCCGCGCGAGCCGCGCCGCGGGCGTCTCCGTCGCGTCGCACGGCGATTTGTAGAGCGACGTGCCGTCGCTGACGACGGAGTCGGGCAGGAAGACGTCGCGGAGGCCGCGCCACCAGAGGTACGTGTCGCGCCAGCCGTACCTTCGGACGAACGCGTAGCCGAGCACCTGGGCAGGACAAGAGAGATTCAACGTCGCTTCAACGTGAGCGTGCCGCGCGCGCGCGTTCCGGAAAAAGCATCCACGCTTCGAGACCGTTCCGAGGGATGTTCGCTCGTCCAAAAATCAGCCGAAACGAGTGGAAAACGGCCGAGATATGAGCCTTGGAAGGTGGGCATGTCGCTCTCTTGTCCTGCCCTGCCGAGCACGGGCGTGAGCCCGTGGTGCCCGACGCCCTCGACGCCGACGACGTAGACGACCTGGACGAAGCGCGCCGTCTTCGCCGGCGCGACGCGCGGCGCCGCCGCGCAGGGCAGCGCGCCGCCGCCGCGCGCGAAGGCGGCGAGCGTGCGCAGGAGCCAGAGGTTCATCTCGATCCGGTCCTTCGTCGTCGCGCCCTCGTGCCACGTCGACCCGTCGTCGCCGTCGAGCGCGCGCGCAACCAGCGTGTCGGCGGCGGCCATCGTGCCGCAGCGTCGCGCTCTCAGGGGCTGCTGGGCTCCATGTCAGACCTCTAGAGAGGGAGAGCTTCTTCAATGAGAATTATTATGGAGGTTTGTAACCAGAGCGCTAGAATCACCGGCGGGCGCCCACAAATCCGCCAAGGCGAACAAGGAGGGTCATCTGCGTCTTAGAGATCTACTCCTCCTCGAAGAGGAAGCGCTTCGTGTTCGGGTCGACGAGGGGCACCCAGCCGCGGCCGTCGGCGACCTTGAGGAAGGTCGCCCCCGAGTCGTGGCCCGCCGCCGGGTCGTCTTCGTGCGCGAACGCGCCGTCGACGGGGAGCCGCTCGCCCGCGATGGCGCTCTCGTCGGCCGCGGCCGCGTCGAAGGTCGGGCCTTTGCGGAGCTGGACGGGGAGCGCGCCGCGGAAGAGGTGGTAGTGGGCCCGGTCCCCCCGCCAGGTCCCCCGGACGGGCTCGAGCCCCTCCGCGGCCGTCCACCCGCCGTCCGCGCGGACGAACGTGTCGCCGCCCGCGCGGACGAAGCGGCTCGCGAGGAAGAGGTCCCCGGGCTTGAGCCGCGCGCCCGTGAGCGGCGCGTCGCGCGCCGCGCGGGCCCGCAGGGGCAGGGGCGCGGCGCCCGCGACGCGGTAGACCGCCGCGTCCGAGGCGCGCGCGGCCTCGGGCGCGGGCGCGGCGGGCCCCGCGCCGTCGTCCGCGGCGGCGATCTGGGCGTTCAGCGCCGCGATCCAGGCCGCGAGGTCCGCCTCGTCGGGCGCGACGAGGAACCAGCGCTGGCCGCCCGTCTCGACGCAGAAGCAGTTCTCCGTGTCCGTGAAGGAGCACACGGAGCCGCCGTCGAGGCGCATGACCTTTTTCTCGCCGCCCGCGCGGCGCCGCGCGCCGCTGCCGCCGTCGCTCTGGGACCGCTTGTCGTAGTACTCGAGCACGGAGTCCTCGAGGACGAACCAGCGCGGCTTCCACCGCGACGTGTAGCGGCCCTGCTTCATGAGGTAGCCGTCGCGCCGCGTCGCCGCGAGCCGCGCGAGCTCGTCGGCGCCGAAGCGCCCGGAGACGCGCGAGTCCGACGACGGCGCCCGGCCCCGCGGGGTCCGCGACGAGCGCTGGGACGACCGCGCGGGCGCCGCGGGCGGCTCCCACTGCGTCTCGCCCGAGACGGTGTTGAAGTAGTAGAAGAGGCCGTAGTGCTCGTCGAAGTGGCTCTCCCAGCCCCGCGGCGGCGCGGGGACGACGAGGGAGCACTCCTCCGTGACCTGCCGCGACGTCGTCGGCGCCGCGGACGCCGTCGGCGGGAGGCCCGACACGCGGACGGTCCGCCGGCGCATGGTCGTCGGCCGCGACGACGACGACGACGCTGCGGCGGCGGGGAGGCCCGAATCCGGGAGTCCCGCGTCCGGGAGGCCCGCGTCCGGGAGCCCCGAGTCCGGGAGGCCCAGCGCCGGCGCGGCGCCGGTCGGCGGCGGCGGCGCCGGGGGCAGCGCGGCGGGCGGCGCGGCGGCCTCCGCCGCCGGCGGCGCCGGCGGCGGCCGCGGCCTTGGTCGCCGCGGCGATCTGGACCCGCGCCGCGCGCGTCGCCGCGGCCGCGGCCTCGGCCGCCGCGCGCGTCGCGAGCGCCTCGAGCGCCGGGAGCGCGTCCCACGCTCTGACGCGCGCGGCCTCGCCGCGCTTCAGCAGCGGCGCCGCCTCCGCCGCCGCGGCGACGACGGCGTCCCTCGCGGCCGTCACAGAAGCCGCGTCGACGGCCGCGCGGCGCGCGGCCCATTGCGCGGCGTCCGCCGCGCGGCGCTCCGCGGAGTCCCTCAGCCGCTTGAGCGCCGCGGCCGTGAGGGCCGTCTTCTTCGACGAGCGCTGCAACAAGTCGCGCACGGCGCCGGCGGCCTCGGACGCCGCGTCGCGGCTCGCGGCGGCGCCGTCCGCGAGGGTCCGCGCGCCGTCCGCGGCCGCGCGCGCGCGCTCCAACCGTTCGGCGACGCCGCGCGCCGCGGCCGGGTCCGACGCGTCAAAATCTAAGACGCGCTGCACATCCGCGAGGGCCGACGCGGGGAAGAAGATCTTGGTGGCGCCTAAAAAGTAGCTCGCGGCGTCGACTTCGAACGCGACCAGCGCGCACGCGACCAGCGTCTCCCTCGGGCGGCCCGCGAACAAGGCCGCGGCGTCGCCCGGCAGCTTCGCCACGACGTCGCCGTAGGGGACGCGCGTCGGCAGCCCGACCTTGAGCACCTCGCAGGCCGCGAGCAGGCCCAGCGCGCGGAGCTGGCAACACGCGGCCGCGGCGTCGAAGTCGCCCGCGCGCATCGACGGCGCGGGCTTGACGCAGCGGATGAAGCCGCAGTCGCAGGCTTTGAGGGTCGCGTGGAGCGCCTGCATGGACTTGACGAACGTCGACGCGACCGTCGGCTTCTTGCGGGACGTTTTCGGAGGCGGGAGCAGGAGCGCCTTCGCGAAGGGCAGTTGTGCGCCCTCCTTCGCCAGGTCGAGGAAGTCGGCGTCGACGCCGTCGACGTTGCCCTTCGTCCAGGCGCCCGGCCCGCCGCAGACGTCGTAGGCGACGTGCGCGGCGTAGTGGCGCACGGTGAAGCGCCGGCGCAAATCCTTCGGGTGCGTCCGCGCGGCGCCCGGGTGGCCTGTGTGGAAATCAAATCTCCAACCCGACTTCAATGTGAGTGTAGTCGGACGAGTTGCGCCATACTCTTCGGTTGTGCTTCGAGAACTCAATGAGAGCAATCGATTCGTCCAAAAATCAGCCGAATCGACGTCGATTTGATCGAGATAGAGAGTTCTGAAGTTTGGTCAGGACCACCCAAACCAGTGGTTGAATTCGGCACAGCGGGTGGCGCGCCAAATCCCGGTGCACGGACGCGAGGAACTTCGCGTCGTCCTTGGCGCCGTCGCCCGTGGCCGTGGCGCAGGCCGCGTCGAGGAGGCGCAGGACGCCCGGGGGCCGCGCCGCGACGAGGAACTCCAGAGTGGCGCCCGAGTCCGGCGGCGCGGGCACGTCGGGCCGCTCCAAACCCTCGGCCTCGAAGAGGCGCAGCTCCGCGGCGAAGACGGCGTCGCAGAAGTGCTGCTGGAGCGCCTCGTTGGCGTAGTTGATCAATAACGTCTCGAAGCCGTTGACCTCGAAGGCCTCGAAGCCGAAGACGTCGAGGACTCCCACCGGGTTGCCGCCCGCGGCGTCGCGGCGGAGCCGCTCGTCGCAGGCCGCGACGAGGGCGTCGAAGAGCCGCCCGTAGAGGTGGCGCGCCAGCGCCTGGACGGCGAGCTGCGTCTGCGCCGGGGTCAACGCCCGGCAGAACGACTCGCCGCGCGTCCGCACGACCGTCTCCGCCAGAGACCGCGCGACCTCGTCGCCAAAGTGCGCGTCGAAGCCCAGGTTCCGTGCAAACAATTCAAAGGGGCACCCGGGGTGCTGGTCGATCTGGCCCCGGTCCTCGCCGAACACCAGGACGTCGCCGAGATGGACGACGGCCGCGCAGACGCGCCACACCGCGGACGCGTCGCCTGTGTGGAAACCAAATATTCAACCCGACTTCAATGTGCGCATATGCGACCGTTTCGAAGCGAGGTCTTCTGTCGTGCTTCGAGAACTCGACGAGAGCAATCGATGCGTCCAAAAATCAGCCGAATCGACGTCGATGTGACCGAGCTAGAGAGTTCTGAAGTTTGGTCAGGACCACCCAAACCAGTGGTTGAATTCGGCACAGCGCGTCGCCCTGGATGAGCAATTCCAGCGCCGCGTTCACGGCCTTGTCCCGCGGCGCCTTGTCGCTGTAGGCGAAGCCCCCGGGCAGCACGCGGCACTCGCCGAGGGGCGTCATGCCCTTGAGCCGCCGGAGCGTATAAAGGGCGTGGTAGTTCGACTCGCCGGGCGCCTGGGAACGGGGTGATGCAACGTCGCTTCAACGTGAGCGTTTTTCGAGCGCGCAATCCAGGAAAAAACATCCGCGCTTCGAGGACGCTCCGAGACATGGTCGCTCGTCCAAGAATCAGCCGAAACGAGTGGAAAGCGGCCGAGAGAGAAGTCGGGCACGTCGCGCGCTTTTCCCGCCCGGCCCGGCGCCTGCCGGACGACGCGCGCGACCTCGAGGAGGTAGGTCTCGAGGCCGCCGCCCCGGAGCCGGCCGTCGCCGTCGAAGTACAGCTTCAGGAACTTGCCGAAGCGGCTCGAGTTCGGGTTCCGCGACGTCGCGGCGTTCCCAAAGGCCTCCAGCGCGGGCGCGACCGCGTCGAGCGCCTCCGAGAGCGACGCGCCCGCGTCGTCGCCGCCGCCGCGCCAGGCGAGGTAGGCCAAGACGATCTTCGACGTCTCCGTCTTGCCCGCGCCGCTCTCGCCGGCGACGACGAGCGCCTGGGGCGCGCCCGATTTCAGGCGCTGGAAGCACAGCTCCGCGAGGTCGTAGGGGTGCGGCGCCCCGGACCCGAAGGCCGCGTCGGCGTAGGCCCGCATGCGCGGCTGGGGGATGGCCTTGAGCGGGTTGACGGCGACGAGCACCGTGCCGACGCGCGTGTAGGCCTCGTCCGCGAGGTAGCGCGCGCGGAGCGTGTGGAGCAGCTCGGGCTCGTTGAGGTGGCGCATGGCCGTCGCGTCGTCGTAGGAGCCGCCGACGCCGCCGCCGGGGCCGTTGGCGCGGTGGAGCTCGCCGAAGCCGAGGTCCAGCTCGTGCTCCGCGCCGTCCTCGAGCTCGAGCGTCACCAGCGTGTTCGCCTGGGCCAGGACCTCGCCCCTCACCCAGGCGCCGTCCCTCGGGACCCAGAGCCGCTCGCCGGGCGCCACGGCCGGGGCGCTCATGAGCTTCTGGGACACGCTGCGACGCATGGTCATCAGGGCGCGGTGCGCGGTGCGCGGCGTCTAATCGGGAAGCCCCAGCGTCACGCAAGCCAGGGGCTGGATGTGGTAAGAAACCGATGTGGTAAGAAACCGACGTTGCTTTGCCACAGGCCGAGGGCCTTGCTGAGATGGGATGACCTGTACGCGGAGCTGCGAGCAGCCATGACCGAACCCGCACCAACGGAAGTCGTCTGGCCGTCGTCGGCAGTCATCGACGACGGCTCGCTCGTGCTCGTCGACGGCGCGCGGAGCCGCGTGTCCCTCTGCCGCTGCGCCGGCGGCGTCGCCGTGGTCAAGCGCTTCCGCGGCGCGACGGCCAACCGGCACCGCGACGCGGCGAGCCGCCGCTTCGCGGCGGAGCGGCGCGCGGCCTGGGCGCTCGCCGACGCGTCGCCCTTTGTTTTGCGGCCGCTCGCGACGGTCGTCGACGCGCCGGTCATGGCCGTAGTGCTGCCGTTCTGCGGACGGTTCCGGTCGCTCGACGTGCTCCTCCACGGCGGGGCCACCCACGACTGGTCCCCGGCCGGCGACCGGGGGTGCGTGACGCCCTCCAGAGCCTGGCGCGCGCTCCTCGCGTTCGACGCCGCGCGCGGCGTCGCGGCCGCGCACGCTTCGGGCGTCGTGCTGCGCGACGTCAAGCCCGCGAACGTCCTCGTCGGCGACGACGGCGTCGGCCGCCTCGCGGACTTTGAACTGAGCTTCTTCGCCGGCGACCCGGCGGCGGAGGCCGCGGGCGGCGGCGGGCCCGCGTCGAAGCCGCGGCGGATCTTCGAGGGCACCCCGCAGTACGTCGCCCCCGAGCAGATCCGCGCGTACGACGGCGTCGTGCTCCACGGCGCCCTCGCGGACCCCATGCGCTCCGCGTCGACGGCCGCGGCGGACGTCTACGCGTTGGCCGTCTCCGCGAACGAGGCGGGGACCAGGGCAGCAAAAGAGAGCGAAATTCCCAACTTCAAAGGCTCCTATCTCGGCCGTTTTCCACTCGTTTCGGCTGATTTTTGGACGAGCGATCATCTCTCGGAACGGCCTCGACGCGTGGATGCTTTTTTTCCGGAACGCGCGCGCGCGGAACACTCACGTTGAAGCGACGTTGAATCACCTTGTGCTGCCCAGGCGGGGACGACGGTCGTGCCGTTCACGGACGTGACGCGCACGGACGCGCAATTACAGACCGTCGTCGAGGTCAAGTACTCGACGACGGCGCTCTGCCGCGCCGTCGCCAGCGAGGGCCTGCGGCCCGCGCTCGTCGACGCGAGTTTCGGTGGTCTGGAATTTTGCGACTTGGTGAGGGAAAGCTGGGCCGACGCGCCGGCGGCGCGGCCGCGCGCGGCGGCCTTCGCGGAAAGGCTCGCGGCGTGCTTCGCCGGGGACGCCATCTTCGAGCGAGGGGTTTCAGTGAAAGGACGCGGCGCGCTCGCGGCGGACGCCGACGAGCCGCTCTGGACCTGCGACGCGGCGGCCGCGGAACCGCCGGCCGTCGAGGAAGCTCTAGGTCCTCTGACGGACGCGGAGCGAGACGCCGTCGACGCGATGGGCCGGCGGCGCCGGCGCCGGCCGCCGCGGCGCGGCTGGGCCTGGGAGGCCCATCGGGGCCCCCGGGACGCCATGGAGGACGCGGCCGGCGGCCTGGACTACGGCCCGCACGCGGGCTGCTACGTCGTCTCGGACGGCCACGGCGGCGCCGCCGTCGCGCGCCTCGCCGTCGATTCGTTGCCGACGCTCGTGGCGCGCTCCCTGGCGGCGACGACGGGCGGCGACGGCGACGTCCGGGCCGCGCTCGTCGACGCCTTCCACGCCTGCGAGGCCCGCTGCGGCGCGTTGGCCGGCGGCGCGTGCGTCGTCCTCGCTTTGTTGTTGGGCGACGACCTCTTTGTGGCCCACGTCGGCGACTGCCGGGCCGTGTTGGACCGCGACGGCGACGAGGGCTGGACCTGGTCCCGGGCGCACGGCCCGGCGCCCGACGCGTTGGCGGGCCCCTTCGCCGGCGGCGTCGCGCGCTTGACGGAGGACCACGCGCCCGCGGGGCGCGAGGCCGCGCGCGTCGCCAAGGCGGGCGGGCGCCTCCTCGAGACGAGGGACGGCAAGGTCCGCGTGGGGCGCACGCGCGGCCCCGGCGGCCTCGCCGTGTCCCGGGCCCTCGGCGACGCGGGCGAGTACTGCGGCGTCGTCGCGTCGCCGGCTGTGTGGAATTCAACCGCTGGTTTGGGTGGTCCTGACCAAACTTTGAAATTCTCCAGCTCGATCAATTCGAAGTCGATTCGGCTGATTTTTGGACGAATCGATTGCTCTCGTCGAGTTCTCGAAGCACGGCCGAAGGCGTTGCGTCGAAACTGTCGCGTACGCCCACATTGAAGTCGGGTTGAAGATTTGAATTCCACACAGGTCGCCGGACGTCGCCGGGCCCGTGCGGCTCGGGCCGCGCGACGCGACGCTCGCGCTCGGCACGGACGGCCTCTTCGACGTGTTAGGCGACGACGCCGTCGCGCGGGTGCTGCGCGACACGGCGCCCGAGCCCCACTTCGGCCCCAAGGCCCTCGTCGGGGCCGCGCTGGACGGCCGGGCGGCGGACAACGTCGCCGCGCTCGTCGTCTACCTCCACCGCCACCCGGAGGACGGCGACGCCCGCGGCTGCGCCCTCGCGTAGGCCTTCTTTAGGACACGACGCGCTTCTTGCGCTTCTTCTCGCGGGGCGGGTACTTGGACTGGGTCACGAGGAGCTTCTTGCGCTCCTTGTAGGCCTCCTTGGCGACGCCCGTCTCCTTGGCGATCATGTTGAGGCCCTGGTCGAAGTCGCAGTGGATGCACGTGTCGAGGGCGCGGTGCGCCTGGACGTAGTCGCGCCGCGCGTGGTGGGCCATGCCCTTGCGCAGGTAGGCCTTGACGACGGAGGCCCCGAACTCGCGGAGCCAGTGGATCTGGTCCTGCTCGTCGCACTCGCGCATGACGTGGGCCTTGGCGGCCTGGCCGAGGCGGATGGCCTCGTCGCACTTCTCGATGCACTTCTCGTACTGGGTCTCGCCCCACTTGGGCGCGAGCATGAGGTGGCAGTAGGCCTTGTTGACGACGGCGGGGATGTAGTACTTCCGGCCCTCCTGGACCTCCGTGTTGTTCCAGTCCATGGAGAACTTGGCGAGCTCCATGGCCCGCTCGTACTTGTCGCAGGCCTTGGAGAAGTCGCCGCGCTTCGCGCAGCGGTTGCCCTCCTCGCGCATGGCCTTGGACTCGGCGAACTTCTTGAGCAGCGCCGTCGCGGCGCGCTTCGCGAACTTGGGCTTCTCCTGGGCAGCACAAGAGAGATGCAACGTCGCTTCAACGTGAGTGTTCCGCGCGCGCGCGTTCCGGAAAAAGCATCCACGCTTCGAGACCGTTCCGAGAGATGATCGCTCGTCCAAAAATCAGCCGAAACGAGCGGAAAACGGCCGAGAGAGGAGCCTGTGAAGTTGGGAATGTCGCTCTCTTGTGCTGCCCTGGGCTTTTCCTCCTTAAAGTCGGGGTCCAGGTCCTTCTCCGCCTCGACGTACATGGTGCCGTACTTGTCGTAGTTCGTCAGCGAGTGGTCCCGGGCCTTGGCGGGCTCCGCGGCGGGGTCCCGGGGGAGCTCGCGGATCCCGACGGGCTCCAGCAATTCGTCGTCGCTCTCGGACTCGACCTCCGGCGCGTCGTCGATGGCCGTCGCGACGCAGGCGCCGTCGACGGCCCAGGTGAGCCGGAGGTGCTCCGGCGCGAGGTGGATCTTGTTGCTCACGGCGATGACGAGCTCCTCCTCGTCGTCCATGCCCGACGCCTCGACCTCGAACTCCCGGTCCTTCCAGCGCACGGTGACCGTCGCGGACTCGTCGATGGCCTGCTCGAGGGCGCTCATGGTACCGAGGCCGGCGCCCGCGTCCGGGGGGCTGCGGCGGTGGCCGAGACGACTTCTCTATCGTGCTCCACTCGTGTGGGCTGCCGGCGAAGCCCAAGGTGCCGGGCAACATTGGACCTCGCCGCCGCTTCGCCGCGCGCGAGTCGACGAGCAGCAGCGCATCCGCCGGCCTATTGTACGCCATGGCCCAACCCGCCCCCAACTGCAAGGGCACGACCTTCGAGATCAAGAAGGCCGGCAACGGCGGCAAGGCCATCGCCAAGGGCTCGAACGCGACGGTCCACGCGACGGGCGTCGTCAAGGAGACGGGCAAGAAGTTCTGGAGCACCAAGGACCCCGGCCAGCAGCCCTTCTCCTACCAGGCCGGCGTCGGCGGCGTCATCAAGGGCTGGGACCAGGGCTGCCTCGGCATGACCGTCGGCGAGGTCCGCGAGCTCGTCATCCCCGCGGACGAGGGCTACGGCGCGAACGGCTTCCCCGCGTGGGGCATCCCGCCGGGCGGTACGCTCAACTTCACGCTCGAGTGCCTCGAAGTCCAGTAGGCGCGGCGGCGCCGGACGGGACGGCGGGAGGCCGCCGCGCGCCCTCCGGCGCGCCGGACCTCGGACGCGCGCCCGGCGGCGGCGCGGAGCCGGGGCGCGCTACTACTTCCCGGGCGCCTTAATGAGGACGTACTCCCGCGTCGAGTGGCCGAACTGGAGCATGTCCTTCTCGCGGAGCTCGACGTAGCGCGCCGGCGCGATGCGCTCGCCGTTGAGCGTCGTGCCGTTCGTGCTCTCGAGGTCGAGGACGTAGGGCAGCACCGCGCGGCTCTCGACGTTCGTGGTCGGATCCACGGAGACCTTCAGCCGGAACTGGATGACGGCGTGCTGGCCGCTGCAGGACGGGTGCATGGTCAGGATGTCGGCGATCTCCTTGACGCGGCCGACGAGGTACGCGGACTGGCGGTGGATGTGCATGACCTTCTCCTCTTGGCCGTTCTTGAACTCGTAGACGCGCCAGCGCGACGTGGGCTGGCGCGCGTCGTCGGGCTCGGACCACTTGAGCACGTGGCCCCGGTAGATGTTGCCCGTGGTCTCGTCCTTGGCGAGCGCGCCCGAGAGGCCGAAGTCGGGTTTAAGCGCGTCGGCGTCCGCGGTCTCCGCGGCGAGTTTCTCCGCGTCGAGATCGTCCTCGGCCCGCGTGCCCCACTTGTCGCGCGCCGGCGGCGCCGAGAACGCGCCGCCGCGGGGCATGCCGCCGCCGGGGCCGCCCTTGTGCTCGGCCTCGTTCACGCGGACCTGTGTGGAATTCAACCACTGGTTTGGGTGGTCCTGACCAAACTTGAGAATTCTCTAGCTCGATCAAATCGAAGTCGATTCGGCTGATTTTTGGACGAATCGATTGCTCTCGTCGAGTTCTCGAAGCACAGCCGAAGAGCTTGCGTCGAAACTGTCGCATATGCGCACATTGAAGTCGGGTTGAAGATTTGAATTCCGCACAGACGCGGACGGTCCGGCCGTCGAGCTCCGCGCCGTCGGCCTCGGCGACGGCGGCCCTCGCGTCGCCCGCGTCGCGGAAGGTCACGAAGCCGAAGCCGCGGGAGCCGCCCTTGTCCCGGTCCTGGGGCAGGAAGCAGTCGACGACGGGGCCCCACTTGGAGAAGTAGCTCTCGAGCGCGGCGCCGTCGGTCTCGAACGACAAGTTCCCGACGAAGAGGCGGCAGCCGGGCGCGGGCGGCGGCCGCCGCGGCGGCGGCCGCGCGGGCGCGCCGCCGGGCTCGCGGGCGCCGCGCCAGGAGCCGCGAACCGGGCTCCGGCTCCGGCGCCGCGGCGACGGCGACCGGCTCCGGCTCCGGCGCCGCGGCGACGGCGACCGCGACGACGACCGGTCGCGGCGGCGCACCGGCGACGACGACCGCCGCGGCGGGGAGCGCGAGCGGCTGCGCCGCCGCCGCGGGCTGTGGGATCGATCGCGGCCCATCGGCTCGGCCAGCCCTTGGCTCGTTGCAGTCATCATTGAACCGACAGCGCAAAGGGCAGCACGATGATGCGCCGCTTCGGCTCCAAGAAGGAGTCGAAGCCGGAGCCCGGCGCCGACGAGTCCGCCGCCGCGCGGCGGTCGACGAAGGAGGCCCCGGGCTACGAGTCGCCGGACGCCCCGGCGCGGTCCTACCGCACGATCACGCCGGCCTTTTTTGCGCGGAAGCGCTGGGACGACGAGGACGACGAGGACGAGGCGAGCATCGCCTCGAGCGCCAAGTCGAGCATACGCCTGCCGACCTTCTTCGGGCGGCGGCGGAAGAAGGAGTCCGTGAAGCTGCCCGAGCTCGCGGGGCCCGCGCCCGCGCCGCGACCGGTCGCGCGCGGCTTCGAGCCGCGAATAAAACGCGACGCCTTCGGCAACGCCGTCGCGCCCGAGGCGGCGCCCGCGCCGGACGAGGAACCGCCGCCGTCGCCGACCCGGGGTCTCGCGACGTTCCTCGTGCCCGCGGAGCGGCCGCCCGAGAGCCCGAGCCGACGGAATCTCAAACGCCTCGAGCGCTCCGACTCGAAGAAGACGATCCGCGACCCCCAGGAGATGGTCAGGGAGATCAAGAAGCGCCAGAAGAAGAAGGAGAAGCGCGTGAAGAAGATGCGCAAGCGGCTCCGGGCGGACCTGGAGAAGAAGAACCCGCCGGCGTCGCCGCGCAAGCCGCCGCCGGAGCCCAGGGTCCCCGAGGACGACGGCGACTTCGCCGCGTCGTCCCGCGACGACCTCAGCGCCTACGTGACGGACATCCAGGCCGCCGTCGCCGCCATCTTCGAACGGGACGCCGCGGAGCGCGCGCTCCGCGAGAAGCTGGACGCCGGCGAAATAGAAGACGACGCGCAGTCGTCGAGCACCTTCACCTCCGGCCCGCCGGACCTCGACACCTACGAGATGGAGCAGGCCCTGGCGAAGCCGGACCAGGACGTCCCGGGGGGCTTCGAAGGCGCGGGCCACGGCGGCGCTCTGAGGACGACGGACACGGAGAAGTCGCTCGTCCGGACCGTCGTGTCGACGCTGGCCGCCACGCTCGACGCCGCGGAGAGCGCGCGCGTCGCCGAGCCGCCGCAGCGGGCCGTGCGCAAGAACTGGCGCATGCCGGACTTCGACTACGGCGACCCGATCGTCACGGCGACGACGATCGACGCGCTCCACCGCGCGGACCCCTTCGCCGAACCCTTCGCCCGGCCCTTGCTCCCCGTCGCCGCGCTGCGCCTCGACCTCGCCGTGACCCTCGACGCGCCGTCCTACGCCCACCGCCCCGCGGGCGCGGACGCCGTCTGCGTCGCCGCGACGCCCGCGCGCAGGGCGACGCGGACCTACACGTGCCCCTGCGGCGCGCGGTGCGACTACGCGACGCGCGACGCGCACCTCGTCGCGTGCAAGGCGTTCAAGGAGGCCTGGGAGGAGGCGCTGCGGCGTCTGGTCGAGGAGTTCACCGCGGCGCAGGTGCGGCGCTACCTCAGCCGCATGTCGCAGTACAAGCTGGTGGACGACGCGGCCGCGTTCTGCGCGCTCGCGGAGACGCGGGGCGACGTCGACGAGGCCGTGAGCCGCCTCGGCGACGACCAGTACCGCCGCGACATGCAGCTCGCGGGCACGCTCCACGGCCTCAAGAGCCTCGACAAGGAGCGGCGCGCGCCCTACGTGCCGGGCGACTCCGGGAGCGACCAGGTCACGGAGGTCGTGCGGAACGCGGCCTTCCGCGGCGCGAGCCGCCAGAAGTCCCGGGAGGACGTCCACTTCGAGGACAGCGACCTCAAGGAGCGGCGCCTCTACTACGTCGACTAAGGACTCAGTGGTCGTCTTCGGGGGCGGCGGGCGGGGTGGGTGGTGCGCGGAGGCGCGTCGGCCTCAACCCCCGTCGAGATCGGGCTCGCCTGCGTCCACCACCGCGCGAGCGCCGGTGATTCAACGTCGCTTCAACTTGAGTGCTCCGCAGAGCGCTCGCGCGAGTCCTCTCCGGTGCCTGCGCCACCGCGTTCATCGGCACCGCCGAGCCACCGTTTGCTCGTGCTGAGCTTCTCTTTACTTCATCAAACGACGATGAAGGTCGACAAGTTCGGCGTCGACATCCTCGTGGGCTCGAAACCACTCAAGGAGTACACGCCGCCGCCGAAACTCCCTGGTCGCTGCCTCGTCGCGTACAGCCTCCACGACCCGAGCTCGTTTCCCATGGACTTCGAGGAGTCCGACCCGTTCGGGGAGACCTACACGCAGAAGTGGCCCGTGACGCCCTACGAGGTCCGCGTCTCGAACGACGCTGAATTTCCCTGCTGGGCGACGGTCGTCGTCGACGGCCGCGGCGCCGGCAGCGTCTTCGTGCCGAGCCGCGGGGCCGCCGTCATGCGCGGCTTCCGCGTGACCGACGAGCGCGGGCGGCGCGGGACCCGCCAGTTCCTCTTCTCCATGCCGCGGCAGATGCGCTCCGGCGAAACCGTCGCGCTCAGGGACGCCGCGGACGTCGCGACGATCAGGGTCTGCGTCCGCGAGGCCGTCTTCTCGCACGAGGAGGACGCGGCGGCCTACGACCGCCGCCGGCCGCCGGGCACCGGCCACGACGCGGTCAACAAGCACGTCGCCAAGCTCGCCAAGTCCGGCTCCGTCTCCCGCGCGGGCGAGGCGACGTACGAGCCCGCGCGCGCACGGGGCTCGGGCGCGACCCGCATCTACAAGTTCGGCGAGGCCAAGGCGACGCTCGTCTTCGACTACTGCACCGTCGGCGCGCTCGCGGCCAAGGGCGTCGACGTCGAAGAGGACGAGCCGCCGGAGCCGTCCTGGTGGGCGGCGGCCTTCGGCGGCCTCCGGGGGCTTCTGGGCCGCTGGCTCGGCGGCGGAGCGCCCGCGCCCGCCAAGCGCAAGCGCGACGACGACGCGGGCGGCCCGTCGAAGAAGCCGGCGACGGACGCCGACGACGACGACGACGACGACGATGACATCGTCGACCTCACGGAGGAGTAGGGGGCCGTCTAAAAGTGAAGCAACCCTAGTCGTTAGGACCCGGCGGGCGAGCCGCGGCGTCGGCCGCCGGAGCCGCGTCGCCGGCCTTGAGCCGCGCGACGTCCTTGTGGTGCGCGAGGACGATGGCGACGTAGCCGTCGCGGCCGAGCAGGTCCGCCGGCGCCGCGGTCTCGTTGAGCTCCAGCACCCGGCCCCGGATGCCCGCGACGACGGGAAAGGTTTCGCCTGATTCGCACTCGACGTGTGCGACGACGTCGTCCGGCATCACCTCGACGGCCCCGCGCTTCTTCTTGCCGCTCAGGCCGCTCGCGGCCACGGCGAAGCGCAGGCGCAGCGGCACGACGCCGTCGCAAAAGGCCGGGTGGGCCGGCGCGAGGCGCACGACGCAGACGTGCGACGGCGCGCAGGACACGAACTGCGTGCCGCCGGCGACGGCGACGGTGTCGTAGTAGCGCTCCCAGCTGCCCAGCGCCGGCCGCGCGGCCGGGTCCGCGTCCATCGGCGCCGTCGACTCGACCGTCGCGGCGCTCGAGGCCACCGCGTCGCGGTCGATCGCGGCGGCCATCAGTGCTCGTTGAGGCAACGAATCGCCAAGCTCGGCGCTCAGCGCCAAACCGCGCAGCGCCAAACGTCTTCGTCGTTGTTGCATTCGGGTGACGGCCAGTTATATAGTGGGGGAGGGGGTTGGTGGTGCGTCGGGCTCAAGAACGAGCCCGCCGCGAGCGGAGTGGCGGCCGCCGCCGTCCGGTGGTGTCCGGCGCGGTCCGCGCCGCCGTCGGGCCTTGTTCCGACGGCGGCGCGGGCGCGCGCCGGACGAGGCGGGCGCGCCCCGCCCTAGATGGTGACCTCGCCCTCGACGCAGGCCTTCTCGTAGAAGGCCTTGGAGGCCGCCTTGCGGTTCTTGTCGACCTTGGCCTGCTTGGCCTTCTTCTGCGCCTTCGCCGCGCGCATCTCGGACGCGCGGTGGACCTCGTGGTAGGGGTTGAGGGCGAGCATGGCGTCGAGGCACTTGAGGGGGTTGCGCTTGGGCGCCTTGGGCCGCTGCGTGTCCTTCTCGGCCGGGCGGACGACGGACTGGATCTCGTCGCTGTTGATGAGGCGCGCGAGGTCCGCGTTGAGCATGCAGGGGCGGGGGAGGCTGTAGTCCTTCTTGAGCTCGGACTTGACGCCGACGCCGCCGTAGAGCGCGTCGAGCTTCGCGAAGGCGCCGGACGTCCAGACGCAGAAGCGGCCGACGTGGCCGCCGGGCGCGAGGAGCAGGAGGTTGAGGCGGTCGATGTGGCAGAGGTCGACGCCGGGGAGGTTGCGCACGGCGCGCGGGAGCTCGGCGTCCTTGTCCTCGTAGATGACGAGGGGGCCCTTGCGGCCGACGTAGCGGCGGTTGCGCATCTTGCCCTTGCCCGCGCGGAGCTTCTTCGACGCGGCGCACTTGTCGGCGTCGGCCTCGGCGCCGAGCGCCTTGAGGAGCGCGACGGCGGCCTTGGTCTTGGCGACGGAGCCCTCGACGGAGCCGTCGACGACGAGCGGCATCTCGGGCACGGCGTCGACGACGTGGCCCCGCGCCATGACGAGCGGCGGGCACGCGGACGCGGCGATGGCGGAGCAGATGGCGTAGCGGCGCTCGTTGAGGTTCACCTTGCGGTGCCACTTGCGCCAGGTCTTCGTCGGCGCGAACATGCGGCCGCCGCGGCACATGTTGCCGAAGGCGCCCTGGCCGGAGCGCTGCGTGCCGCCGCCCTGGACGCGCGGGATGCGCGACACGGCGCGGCCCGTGCCCCACGACTCGGCGCTCGTCTGGTGGCCCGCCTTCATGTTGACGGCGTAGGCCTGGCGCGCGTTCTTCGCGATGTTCGTGTGCACGAAGCGCACGAGGTCCGGGCGGATCGGCGCGTTGAACACCGCGGGGAGCGGCGTCGTCGACGCGACGGCGCCCTCGGGCGAGTAGACGGAAACGACGGGGCGCGTCTCGGCCATGGTGTCTGACCTACGAGGCGGTTCGCGGTGAGCGTCGCGCGCGGCGGGGGCGGGCGGCGGGGAGGGGGCGGCGGCGCGACGGCGGGGGCGACGGCGACAGTGACAGAGCGACGGCGACGGCCGGGCCGAGGCGGGGGCGGGCGGCGGGGAGGGGGCGGCGCCGCGACGGCGGGGGCGACGGCGACAGTGACAGAGCGACGGCGACGGCCGGGCCGAGGCCGAGACCGGGCGCTCCGCTCGGCGCGGAGCCCGCCGGCCCGCAGCGACGGCGCAGCGGTCCACCGCACGACGTCCGCGGCCACGAGAAGGGGCCGTAGAGCGCCGCGCAGCGGTCCCGTCCGCGAGCTGCCGACCGCGCAGGCCGTCGTCGGGCGAGACCGCGGCGGAGAGCACTCTCCGCGCGGTTCACGTCCCGATTTTCGGCACACGCGTTCCGCAGCCGCCGTCGTCGTCGTGTCACATCGTCGCCGCGCCGTACACCGTCAACGTCGCGCGGCGTGGGTAGGAGAGGGCGGGCGTCGCCCACCTTGCGACTGAGGCGCAAAGAGCGAGTATCGCGGACGAGCCCCGGAGATGTCCTCGACCCCCGGCGACCATCCTCGCCGGGGGTCGAGGGGCTGCGGACGTGTCCGACGCAAAAAATCCGCTGTGCCGCATAACAGACCCACCCCACGACCATTACGACCCCGCCCCCAGCGCCGCCAGCGCCGTCCGCAGTTCCGGGGACCCCGGCGTCGGCCGCATGCCCAGGGCCGTCGCCGCGTCGACGGCCGCGCGGCGCTCGGACTCGCACGCCGCCGCGGCGAGGCGCTCGAGCGCGGCGCGCACGGCGCCCGGCGGCGTGGATGGCGGGAGGTGCATGCGCTCCTGCCAGACGCGGTAGTCGAGCGTGCGGCGGCCCGCGGCGTCGCGGAGCGTGAGCGTCGACCGACTCGCCGCGCGCCGCGCGCGCGCGTCGTCGCGGCGGCACGCGACGACGACGCAGATGTGGGGCGGCCGGCCCGCCTTGAAGACGACGTCGACGCGGTCGATCACGACCAGGCCGTGGCGCGCCGGGCAGGCGTCGTTGCGGCCGTCGGCCGCCGCCATGACCCACGCGAACGTCCCGCCCCGCGCGAGGCTCCGCGCCGCGGCCGCGCAGTACTCGTCGAGCCCGCCGCGGTACTCCAGACGACAATAGGCCTTCTGGTCGTGGGCGCTCGGCACGCCGTCGCGCGGGTCGAAGTAGGGAGGGCTGCCCGTGACGAGGTCGTAGCCGCGGCCGCCGTCGAAGTCCCGGAGGTCCGCGTGGACGCAGGCGACGCGGTGTTCGAGCCCGTTGCGCGCCACCGTGCGCCGGCAGAGCTCGTGGGAGATGCGCTGGGCCTCGACGCAGCAGAGCGTCGCGGCGGCGCCGCAGCGGGAGAGCGCGGTCAGTCCCACGCTGCCGACGCCCGCGCCCAGGTCCAGGAGCCGCGTCGCGCCCGGGTGCGCCTCGACGGCGCGGCACGCCGTGAGCTGGTCGTCGTTGGAGAAGCGGTGGCCTTTGGCGAGCTGGCAGATGACGACGCCGGGCGCCAGCGCGTCCCAGGTCACCGCGGCGCCGACGGAGCGCCGCTCCAGCGCGCTGAAGCGCCGCGTCTTGACGAGCACGACGGCCGCGGGCCGCGGCAGCACGCAGCCGCTCGGCGACAGCTGGTCGAGCTTCTCCGGGTCGTGCATCTTTTGAGCGGGTGCTTATTAGTCCATAATCGCAGAATCACCACTGCAACGTGCGATACGTAAAGTGCAACCTTTCTGCATTCATTGAGGGAGCGCTGGGCCGTGCTCTCTGGCGGAACAGGCCGAGGCGGCCCGCCGCGGGCGCTCTTCCTTGCCGTCTCGCTCCGCGGCGCCGGGGTCCGCGCCGCCGGCCGCGGACGCGGCCGCCGCCCGCGGCGCGGAGACCGCCCTCGCCGCTCGGAGGCAGCCCCGCCGGCTCGGCGGCGGGCGCGGCCCCGACCAGCCATGGTGAAATTCTCCCTCGGCGCCAAGCCCGACCACAGCTACGAGGAGGCGAAGGAGCAGGACAAGAAGATGGCGGCCCTGCAGCAGGCCTTCAAGCCCAGCGAGTCGGTGGTCTCGCGCCTCGACATGAAGCGCGAGGCGTCGCTGCGCCGGGGCATGTCGCTGCGGGACCTGTACGAGAAGATCCCCGAGACGCCCGTGGAGCGCTGGCTGCGGCGCATGGACGTCGAGTACCCCGTCTGGAACCCGCTGAGCAGCTGGCAGCTGACGTGGCAGGGCGGCATGGTCGTGACCGTGCTCGTCGCGCTCGTGCTCATGCCGTACCAGCTGTGCATTCCCTACTTCGGGGCCTCGTTCCCCTGGACCCACCCGCTGGAGATTTTAGGGCTGCACCTCGACGTGCTGCTGTCGGTGGACATTCTGGTGACCTTCAACGTCGCGCTGCTGCCCGCCGACGCGCACACGGAGGCGCTCATCAGGGCAGGAAAAGAGTGATTCAAGTTCGCTTCAACGTGGGTGTTCCGCGCGCGCGCGTTCCGGAAAAAGCATCCACGCTTCGAGAGCGCTCCGAGAGATGATCGCTCGTCCAAAAATTAGCCGAAACGAGTGGAAATCGACCGAGATATGAGCCTCCAAAGTTGGACATTTCGCACTCTTTTCCTGCCCAGGCGCTCATCACGGATCGAAAGACCATCATACGGCGCTACCTCGCGTCCTGGTTCTTGGCGGACGTCGCCTCGAGCGTGCCCTTCTCCCACATCGCCGTGATCTCCGGGCACAGTGCCGGCAACATGAGCAAGATCCTGAAGTCCATTAGAGTGTTGCGCGTCGTCAAGATCGCGCGGTTTTTAAAGTTGGTGCGCCTCCTCGCCAAGGTGCGCTCCAAGGACAAGTGGGAGGAGCAGGACGGCTACGACCTGTCGACGATCGTGACGCGGCTGTCGAACCTCACGGGGCTCGTGTTCCTCATCGCGCACTACGCGGCCTGCGTCTTCGTCGCGCTCGCCTACGGCCGCGACGACGGCTGGCGGGCGAACACGTGGGTCGCGCAGTACTTCGCCAACGGCGAGGACTTCACCATCGACGAGGCGACCTGCGGGGACCTGGCCTGGTACCTCCACGACGCGAACGCGTCGACGCTCCTCGACGGGCTCGGGTCCGCCACGAAGATCCAGGACGTGACGGCGCTGCGCTGCGGCATCGTCGACGCTTTGACGGACGTGGACCGGCGCCTGCCGCCTCGAATCCGCCTCTGGTGCGTGGCCATGTACTGGGCGATGACCAGGGCAGCAAAAGAGAGCGAAATTCCCAACTTCAAAGGCTCCCTTCTCGGCCGTTTTCCACTCGTTTCGGCTGATTTTTGGACGAGCGATCATCTTTCGGAACGGCCTCGAAGCGTGGGCGCCTTTTTCGGAACGCGCGCGCGCGGAACATTCAAGTTGAAGCGACGTTGAATCACTCTTTTGCTGCCCAGGCGATGACGACGCTGACGACGGTGGGGTACGGCGACATCTACCCCGTGTCGAACGTCGAGATGGCCTACACGTGCGGCATCCAGTTCACGGGCTCCTGCGTGCTGGGCTACGTCATGGGCCAGGTCGTCGAGATCTGCACGCGCGAGGACACGTCCGCGCGGTTGATCCGGAAGAAGATCGACAGCATCAACTCGTACATGCGGCACCGGAATCTCCCGTACGAGCTCAAGGTGCTGATCCGGCGCCACTATTCCTATTCCTGGAAGCACTCGTCGATCTTCAACGAGCAGCTGATCCTGGAGGAGCTGCCCATGTCCATCCGGTGCCGCATCGTCATGGCCATCAACCGGCCCGTGCTCGAGAAGATCTCGTTCCTGGAGGGGCTGAGCAACCACATCAAGACGGCGATCTGCCTCAAGGTGAGCCACACGCAGGTCGTCCCCGGCGAGCACGTCGTCGTCGAGGGCGACGTGGGCAACGACTGTTTTATAGTGTCCCGGGGGCGCCTCGACGCGTACGTCCGCGCGGCGTCGCAGCTGGCGGACTCGCTCGACATCGACCGCATGCTGAACATCCTCACCTTCGCCGACGGCGACATCTTCGCGGAGTACACGCTCTTCAAGGGCAACTCCGCGAAGCACCCCTACACGGTCATGGGCAACCACCGCGCCGCGGAGCTGCTCTGTCTGACGTCGAAGAACTTCCGGCGGCTCTGCGGCGAGTTCCCCATCCTCGAGGACATCTTCAAGAAGGTCGCCATGGAGAACTTCGAGGCCATGATCGCCACGCTGTCGAGCCGCCAGCGGATCAAGGCGAAAGCCAAGGGCGCGGGCGACGCCGCGGCGCGCCGCGACCGCGACCCGACGTGCCGCGAGCGGTTCTTCCCCTGCTGCGACTGCCTCGACGACGGCCGGGCCCACGCGACGAACCAGATCCTCGTGGCGCCCGCGGACCTCGACGAGGCCTCGGAGAACGACCTCGACGGCGACGGCTGCGACGACGACGTCCAGGGCATCGACCCCGAGGAGCTCGCGGAGCTGCGGAAGCGGCGCGACGAGTTCGGCGCGTTGTCGAACCAGACGAAGCTCAAGGCCCAGCTCTGGGCGAAGCGGGGCGTCATGAAGTCGACGATGCGGCGGACGCTGTTGACGGACGCGGACGAGCCGTCGACGCCCGGGTCGCCCTTCGGGAGCCGGGGCACGCCGCCGAACTCCGCGCGGTCGCCGGCGCCGGCGAGCTCGCCCTTCGGCCGCGCCAACTCCCAGGGCGCCGCGGCCGCCGCGCCGCGCGTCGACGCGCTCGAAAGGGCCGTCGCGGCCATCGGCGACACGCTCGCGCGCCACTCGACGATCCTCGAGCGCCTCGCGGACAAGCTCGACCTCGACGCGCAGCCCGCCCTCGCGGAGCAGGACGGGTCCCTGGACCTGCTCGAGCGCCTCGCCGAGGGCGGCGACGAGGACGAGGAGCCGAGCGCGGCCCGGCACCGGCGGGCGAGCATGTAACACTAGCGCCTTCTTAGGTCTCGTCCATGGGCTCGTCGTCGGGCCACCAGGTCGTGGGCCCGAGGCCGTCCTCGTTGATGGAGCCCGTGATCTCCATGGCGGAGGGCAGCGGCGCGGACGCGTCGAGGTCCACGGAACTCGACCGCTGGCGCACGTTGCCGGGGGCCGCCGCCGCGGACGCGCCGGGCACCTCGATGGTCGACGTCGTCGCCTGGAGCCCCCGCTTGTGCTTGGAGACCCTGGTGAAGTTGATCGCGGCGACGCGGAAGCGCAGCTCGAGGCCCACGTCGAGGTGGAAGCAGGCGTCGTCGCCGCCGCCGCCGTCCTCGTCGTCGCCGAGGTCGGGCCGCCAGGTCCAGATGTTCGAATCCTTGTCGTAGTAGGCGGGCGTCGGGAGGAACTTGGACGGGATGTTGACGTCCTCGAAGAAGCCGAGCGACGCGCGGACGCCTTCCGGGCCGGACGCGACGATCGTCGCGGTAGCGATCTCGCCGACGAAGGGCCGAAAAACCAAGAGGCTGAACGTCGCCTTGTAGGTCGCCCCGCCGTCGAGGGGGTACACGAGGCCGTCGCCGACGTCGAGCACGTCGCGGCAGCAGACGCAGAGGCCCACGTCGTTCACGACGCGCGCGGCGTACTTGGCGTCGACCTCGGCCTTGACGATGTCCGTCGTCGGCTTCCCAAAGGCCCCGGGCGCCACGCGCACCGTGTCCTGCATCTCCGCGAGCACGAACATTTTGTGATGGTGCGCCGGAGAGCTTAGGCTTGGCGCATCGCCTCGCGGAGCTCTGCTAAGGGTTGAGGGCCTACTTGAACCCGCGTTGCAGCGAGCCGCGCTCGTCAAAGAGAGGTCGTTAGGGGAGGGCGCGGGCCGCGCGTCGTCGTCGTCGCGCCGCGCGCGCCCGGCGGCGTAGTTCCGCCGGGCGGCGGCCCCGCGGTGCGCGCGCCCCGCCCCGGGCCGAGCTAGTGGTGGCCGTGGTCGTGGCCGCCGCCGCCGTGGCCGCCGCCGTGGTCGCCGTGGCCGTGGTCGCCGTGGCCGTGGTCGCCGTGGCCGTGGTCGCCGTGGCCGTGGTCGCCGTGGCCGTGGCCGCCGTGGTGCGCCTCCGCGGGCGGCGCGAACTGGCAGCCGACGCGGTTGAGCAGGAGGTGGAACTCGTGGATGTCCAACGCGCCGTTGCCGTCGTCGTCGATGTCCTTGATGAGGTTGTAGACCTAGGGACGACGGTTTTGTAAACCCCCGGGGGCGGAATTCGGGGAGGGGTCGGGGAAAGGGGGTCGCGTGCTACGGAAATGGATGGCGCTTCACATGTCAGCATGGGCCGAGTGCGAGTCGGGTTCAGCCCGGTGCGCCCGAGGGCGCCCGGCACAAAGGAAGGGTATCGTCATCGCACGCGTTCGAACGACGAAAGAGAGAGGGACGCCGGGAGAAACGTCGTCGACGGACAGCTCCTGGCCGATCTCCGAGATCGTCTGGTGGAGCTCCTGGACCGTGATCAACCCGCCGCGGTCCTCGTCGATGATGTCGAACATGTCCTGGATGAGCTCCGCCGGGTCCACGCTCGTGGCCACGTGGCGCTCGAGCGCGCGCCCGAAGACGAAGAACTCGTCGAACGAGATCTCGCCCGAGCCGTCGTCGTCCAGGAGCTTGATGATCTTGTCGATCTGCTCCGACCCGGCCGGCGAGGAGTCGTCGGAGAACTTCGACAGGAGCGCCTTCATCTCGTCGTGGTCGATGGACCCCTCGTGGTCGTTGTCGAAGACGTTGAAGATCGCGCGCCACGACCGCTCCTGGCGGTCGTCCTCGGCGCGCGCGATCTCGATGCGCTCGCGGCGCGCGTGCTCGTCCTCGTTGGTCCGGCTCTGGGCCATGGCGTGCTCGTGGCGCGTCATCGTCGCCGCGCCGTCGCCCTCCAGGACCCGCGCGACGACGTCGGGCTTCCGCAGGAAGGAGACCACCTTCAACGCTTCGAACGCCGCCTCCGTCTTCTGGCGGCGGATGACCTGCTCGACGTTCCGCAGGTTCTGGAGCGATTCCACGTTGGCCACGACCGCAAAGTCCTGGACGATGCGGGGGAGCTTGTACTGGCAGACCATGGGCGGGCCCAGGGCCACGAAGACCCACGCCAAACGGAACAGGAACGGGAAGGGCTTGAAGACCTGGGCAGGACAAGGGTGATTCAACGTCGCTTCAATGTGAGTGTTCCGCGCGCGCGCGTCCCGGAAAAAGCATCCGCGCTTCGAGACCGTTCCGAGAGATGATCGCTCGTCCAAAAATCAGCCGAAACGAGTGGAAACCGGCCGAGATAGGAGCCTTTGAAGTTGGGAATTTCGCTCTCTTGTGCTGCCCTGTTGAAGACCTGGTCCTCGAAGAGCTGGGGCAGGTAGACCAAGAGGAGCACGGCGATGTAGATGGCCATGCCCAGCGGGATCGTGCGCAGGATGTCGAGCGTGAAGTGGGCCTTGTGCGTCTCGCCGTACCAGAACTTGCACTGGTAGCGCGGGTCGACGCCTGTATGGCAAACAAAAATCTTCAACGCGACTTCAAAATTCTCGAGCTCGGTCACATCGAAGCCGATTCGGCTCATTTTCGGACGAATCGATGGCTCTCGTCGGATTTTCGAAGCACGATCGAAGCGCGTGCGTCGAAACGGTGGGATACGCGCACATTGAAGTCGGATCGAAGATTTCGGCGCCGGTCGACGCCCGGCGGGATCGACACGGACGCGCGCTTCCGGTGGCGCACGGCGATGTTCTCGCCGCCCTTGGCGAAGCCCAGGATCGCGTCGACCAAGGGCTTGACGCGGTCGTCGTAGAAGAGCAGCAGCCGCTCGAGCCACTCGGGCTTGTGTCGGGGCCGATAATCCTCGACGCCGCGCGCGACGCTCTGGTAGCCCCCGCGGCGCACCTCCACGTCGACGACGTGCGCGTCCGGCGCCGGCGGCGCGCCGCCCTCGCCCCCCTTCTCCTCGTCGGACTCCTCCTCGAGCACGCGGTCGCCGAAGAGCTTGTTGCGCGTCGACGACTTCATGATCGTCAGACTCTCCGCGCGGATGGACTCGCGCTTCTTCTTCAAAGGGCTCGACCGGCTCAGCGCCCGGCGCGGCGGCAGGAGCTTCGTCGCCTTGAGCAGGCCCGCGCCGCCGCCGCGCGCTTCCGCGCGCGTGAGCAGCGGCGCCGTGTGCTCGAGGAGAATCTGCCGGATCTTCGCGTGGACGGCAAAGGTCACGAAGAGCAAAGAATAGCCAATAAACACCCAGAAGACGAAGCGCATGGACCGGTCCATGACGTTGTCCATCTGCCAGAAGACGAGGAGCACGACCTCGAGCTGGAGCCACGTCTTCACGGGCACCTCGACGATCTCCGCGAGCGTCTTTCCCAGCGCCTGGGCAGCAAAAGGGTGATTCAACGTCGCTTCAACGTGAGTGTTCCGCGCGCGCGCGTTCCGGAAAAAGCATCCACGCTTCGAGACCGTTCCGAGAGATGATCGCTCGTCCAAAAATCAGCCAAAACGAGTGGAAAACAGCTGAGATATGAGCCTCCAAAGTTGGGAATTTCGCTCTCTTTTGCTGCCCTGCCCAGCGCGATGCCGAGGTACGACGCGAACTCGAAATCCGCGGGGTTCAGCCGGTGGGCCATGATGAAGCGATCCCGGCAGAGCGCGTGGAGCAGGATGCGCGTGTGCTCCGGCAGCCCCGCGATGAAGATGAGCTCGAAGAACGACGCGTGCGATAAAGATTTCGCGTCGACGATGGCCTTGGGCGAGAACGACTCGATCTTGCGCTGCTCCCAGGTCTTCCAGGTGGACAGGATGCGCTCGCCCATCTGGGCCATGAGCACGGCCTGGGCCAGGAAGATGACCATGATGAGGAAGAGGACCATGTGCACGGCTTCCCCTAACTCCGTGATCTCGTTCTCCTCGCCGTAGAGCTTCTCGCTCAGCTCCTTGAGCCAGGCCATCTTGAAGACGAGGAACAGGGTCAACCCGATGAACCCGAGCAGCGTCAGCTCGCTGAAGAGCGACTCGACGATGGGCCGCATCGTCTCCGACGTGTGCTCGAGGAGGTGCTCGTGGCCGAACTCGAACGCGAGCGAGATGGCCTATAACAAGGGGATTTTTCGGGGCCGTGGGACGTGCCGGGCGGGACGCGGGGGCGACGCACGACGAGGATGGTCACGGTGAGCACGATGATGTTCAACTTGAGCACGCGCTCCTCGTTCTCCTCCTCGTTGATTTTTTCCCAGTCCTCGTCGCTGAGCTCCTTCTCGCCGGCGCCGAAGCGCAGGAGCCCCGCGAGCAGCAGGGCGCGGGCCGACGCCGCGAGGGAGGCCATGAGTTATGCGGCCGCGGCGCTATGCGTCGAGCGGCTGCCGCGGCTTTTCTGAGGGCGATCGCTGGCGGCCGCGCGCCGAGGGTACGGGAGGGCCGCCCGTGCGCGGCCCGGCCGCGAGACCCGGCGCCGGCGCGCCGCCTCGGGTCCGCGGACCTCTCGGGGGCGGCTACTCCTGGCGTAGGCGAGGCGCGCCGCGGCTCGCGGCGGCGACGCTGTCCTCAGGGCAGCTCTGAAGTTTGTGGCAAGGGCCTCACCTACAAAATTCCCTCGCCGGGGGTCATGGATGGAAACCTAACCACGCCCTTCGCGCCGCCGCCGCCGCCCTCCCGCCCACCACCGCCCATCCCGCGGCCCCGACGGTCCACGACGGCCCCGAGAGCGACAACGTGCGCCCGAACCGTCGCAGAGAACGTCCCGCTTCCTGCTTCGGCCCCGATTTCGGTCTCGGGCGCGACGTGCCGTCGCCCGACGGCCCCGAGACATGGTCTCCGGGCCCAAGCGTCGGTTCCCGCGTCCAAGGGCGCCTAAATTACGAAGAACAAGAAAGGATGTTGCTTCGTTTCCGTTCATTGTGCCGTCACGACCCGAATAAAATCGGTGCATTTTGGTGTGTTTGCGTCTCACGAGTACCCCGGCGCCGGCGCCAATACCGCCTCGTCGTCGCGAGTGGCCGGCCTCGTGACACGTTCGGCGCCCGCCTGGCCCCGCGTTTGCGCATCGGTCCCCCCGCGCGCCGCGCCCGCCCGGCCATCCGCGCGCCCGGGCCCGACGCGCCCGCGAGCCGCCTCACCAAAAGCCACCGAAGCGGCGGAAGCCGGCATGGAGGCCCCCGGCGTCCCCGGCGTCCCGGCGGCCCCGCTGCTCCCCGCGCCGCGGACGCCGGCGCCCGGCGCCCCCGCGGCGCCCGCGCCCGCGCCGAGCCCGGCGAACGCCGCCGACGACGACGGCTACTGCGGCGTCTGCGGTTCCGCGCACAGCGAGGAGGGCGACGCGCTGCTCTTCTGCGACGGCCCCGGGTGCGGCGTCGCCGTGCACCAGCTCTGCTACGGCATCCGCGCCCTGCCGCCCGAGGACGAGCCCTGGTTCTGCGAGCCCTGCCACTGCGACTCCGTCGCGTTCGAAGCGGCGCGGGCGGCCGCCGACGCGGCGCCGTCGCCGCCCGGGGCGCGCGCGCCGACGTCCCTCGACTTCCCGCGCACGGAGCGCGCGTGCGCCATCTGCGCCGGCGGCCCCGACGGGCCCGTCGTCGACGGCGCGGCGAAGATCCCTCTCGCGTTCAAGCGCGCGACGACGCTTCCGAAGTCCGACGCGAAGACCAGAGACGTCGGCGACGCCGCCTGGCAGGACGCCTGGGCCCACGTCGCCTGCGCGGCCTGGATCGAGGAGGCGGGCTTCGCCGACGAGCGGCGCCTGTCGGTCGCGCTCTGCGGCGATCTGAGCGCCGCGCGCGGCGCGCTGCGCTGCGAGCTCTGCGGCAAGCGCGGCCAGGCCGTCCAGTGCCGCCGCAAGAAGTGCGTCGCCGCCTTCCACCCGGCCTGCGTGCTCCGCGAGCTCATGGGCCCGAAGGAGTGGCGCCGCGGCGGCGGCGGCGCCGCGCGGCCGGGCGGCGCGGCCAAGGCCATCGGCGACCTGCTCTGCGGCCGCCACTGCGGCAAGGGCGGCCGGTCCGCGGCGCCCAGGTGCGAGGTCGTCGTCGAGAAGAGCGACTACGAGAAGGAGCGCGACGCGCGCATCGCGCGGAACGCGGAGTTCCTCCAGTCGCTCGGCCTCGGCGGCGGCGCCGGCGGCGCGCTGGCCGCGGGCAGGGCGCCGCCGAAGAAGCGGGCGTCGACGCCCAAGGCGGAGACGACGCCGAGCCGCAAGTCGAGCCGCGCGGGCAGCGAGCACAAGCCGGGCATGTACGCGATCAGCCGCACGGGCCGCTCCGCGGAGGAGATCGCCGAGGCGCGCGAGGAGAAGGAGCAGGCGCGCCTCGAGAAGCTCCTCAAGCGCGCGGACCGCGCCGTCGCCAACGCCGTCGCCGACGACGCCAAGCACGCGAACCGCGAGCGGCGCCACGAGGACGCGCGGCGCCACGCGCTCGAGCAGGCCGTGCTCCAGGAGCAGCGGCGCATCCTCTTCCAGCACCAGGCTATTCTCCGCGCGCAGCAGCTCGAGGTGCTGCGCCAGCAGCGCGTCCAGGAGCGGGAGGAGCGTGAGCGCCAGGTCGAGGAGGACCGCCGCGCCGCCGCGCTCAAGCGCGACGCGGAGAAGGCGGCGCGGGTCGCGGACAAGGCCATGGCCGCCATGGCCGCGCGCGACGCGCGGCGCGCGGCCAAGTTCGTCAAGGAGATGGCCAAGTCACCGCGAGTCGCTCGCCGAGGCGAAGGCGCGGAGCAAGCTCGCGAAGACCCAGAAGTCGTCGGACGCCGCCCAGCAGGCCGACGCCATCGCGAGCGAGTCCACGGTGAGCGTCATCCTCGAGCGCGAGGCGCGGCGCACGGGCGCGCCGGCCCGCGCGGCGCCGGCGGCGCCGCCGCCGCCCTTCGCGCCGCCCTTCGCCGCGGGCGGCGCGCCCGCGCCCTGGGGCGCCTACGACGGCGCCGGCGCCTTCGCGGCGGCATCCTACGCCCACGCGGGCTACGGCGGCTTCGAGCCGCCCTACGCGGCCGACTACGACTTCGGCGGCGACTTTGGGCCGCCGCCGCCGCTCGGGCCGCCGCCGGAGGCGCCGCGCTACGCCTACGCGTCCGCGTCCTACGCCGCCGAGCGGGCGCCGCCCGACGGCGGCGTGTCCTACGAGCGGGGCGCGCCGCGGAGCCCGGCGGCCTACTGCCCCGTCGCGGCGCCGCCGGCCGCGCCGCCGCCGCAGCAGCTCACGGCCGCGGACGTCGCGCGCCTCCTGCCGCCCTGCTGCTTCTGCGGCGGCGACGCCAACGACCCGGACTCGGCCGAGGGCGCCATGATCGCCTCCGTCTTCCTCGGGCCCGCGACGAAGGCGCGGCCCGAGGGCACGCTGTACCGCGCGCACGAGCGCTGCGCGGAGCTGTCGCCCGAGGTCTTCCTCGACGACCACGGCGCCTACCACAACGTCGTCAAGGCCGCAAAGCGCGGCGCGCAGCTCCGCTGCTTCGCCTGCGACGGTCGCGGCGCGACGATCGGCTGCCACGTCGCGAGTTGCCAGCGGTCGTACCACGCGCCCTGCGCCGTGAGCTCGCGCTGGCGCTTCGGGGGCCTGCGGCGCTTCTGGTGCGCGGAGCACCGCGGGCTCGCGGAGGGCGGGGGCCTCGCGGACCACGACGCTCAAGACGCGACGACCGTCGGCCGGCTCTTGGGCGCGGCGTCGGGGAGGTGGTGCCCCCACTGCGAGCGCTTCGACCCGAACGCGCTCGACGGCTACGTGTCCTGCGACGGCTGCAACAACTGGTGGCACCCGGCCTGCGCGCAATTGGACGACGAGACGCGCGCGTGGCTCGCGGCGCACGAGGGCGACCCGACCGCGACGTGGCACTGCCCGCACTGCGAGGCGCGCCGCGCGGCGCTCGAGAACCAGGTCGTCTGCGTCTGCAAGGCGTCGGCGGCGTCGTGCCAGAACACGTTCATGCTCATGTGCGACGCGTGCGACGTCTGGCACCACCCGGCGTGCGTCGGCCTCTCGGCGTCCGTGGCCGGCGCGCTCGGCGAGAGCGACGCGCGGTGGCACTGCCCGACGTGCGTCGCCGCGGGCATCATCTGCGTCTGCCAGGCGCGCGGGCGGCCCGGCGAGGTCACGCTGACCTGCGAGGGCTGCGCGGGCGAGTTCCACCCGAAGTGCGTCAACGTCGCCGACGCCGACGTCGCCGCGTACGGCAAACCCGCGAGCGACCCGGACCGCAAGATCCTGATCTGCCCGGCGTGCTACGACGCGAACCGCAAGAAGCGGGGCGGCGACGACGCCGGCGACCGGCCCCGGGCGCCGCCGCGGAGGCCCGCGGCGCCGCGGGGCCGGAAGCGGTGCCGCGGCGAGCCGTCGGGGCTCCGCGTCCGCGTCGCCGTGTCGCCCAAGGGCGCGCGGTCCAAGAAGCGGCCGCGCGACGCGCCGCTGCGCGTCCGGCGCGTGGCCCTCGTCCTCGGCGGCGCCGCCGTGCGCGCGGGCGCGGGGTCCCTCGAGGACGACGACGGCGACGACGGCCCGCGGAAGCCGCTCGCCGCGCTGCCGCACGGCCTCTGGCCCGAGCCCGTCGTCGTCCGCTACACGGCCCTGGCGCCCATCGCCGAGGCGCCGGCCCCGGCGGCCGGCGGCGCGGATGACGCGGCCGGCGACGCGGCGGACGCGGCCGGCGGCGCGGCGGACGCCGACGCGGCCGTGGCCGAGGCGCCGGCGGACGCCGACGCGGCCGTGGCCGAGGCGCCGGCGGATGCCGACGCGGCCATGGCCGAGGCGCCGGCGGACGCCACGGTGGAGGTCGCGGACGCCGAACCGCCCGTAGCCGACGCCATGGAGGACGACTCGGAGGCGCCCCTCGACGTCTAAACATCCCCGGGTCATCTCGTGCCGGACTAGGACGTCGCCGGATGGAAGCGTGCTCGAACGAACCTGGGGCCCACTGGAGACTTTGAACTTTGAAAGTGGCCCGACCAGTGGGTTCGTACGGGTAGTAGTATTTTAAAATGCACATACATAGCAGGGGCGGCAACCTTGTGCAAGGCCCGCGCCGCGGAGGAAGCAAAAAAGGGTCGGGGGTCGACGACGACGACGTCGACGACGGGGGAGTGCCGTTGAAATTTGCACGCGTGTTGAGGAACTTCAAAAGAGGGGGGGGGCTGCGGCGGCGGCGGCGGCTTGACTAGGCGTCGCCTTCACTGAGGGATTTTTTGATCGCGCTGACGGCGGCGCGCTTGGCGTGGCGGACGATGGACTTCTTGTTGCAGAGCCGCCACCGGCCAATGACGAAGGGCTTGGACGGCGCGCCCGCGGTCGGAGAGCGCTGCTCCAAGTTCAAGGGCGCGAAGAAGATGGCGACGACGACGGCGATCGACGCGGCGGCACCGCCTAGGGTGGCCCAGACGCCCGCCCAGGTGCCCTTGGGAACTTCCTTCCTCTTCGTGCGCGAGACCTGCATCGTATCCATGTGCATGAAGACGCGCTGGTCGGAAAAGATCGTGCCGTCTCCCCACTTCGTGTAGCGGCCGGCGGCGCCGGGCGAGACCTCGAGCGCGCGGGGGCTCCCGGCCCGAAGCGCCCCGGGCGGCCTTCGCCCGCGGCGCGGGAGGTCCCGCTCGTTTCGCGACGGGCTCGAGCGGCCGCGCGTGGTCGTAGAGGCGCCGCGCGAGCTCCGCCGCGGTCCCGCTCGACGGGAGCCCCAGGTACGTCAGCTGGCGACGGAGCGCGGCCGGCCCCTCGGCCTCGAGGTCCGGGAGGGAGGCGCGCGCCGCGTGGTCGCGGATGGTCCCTCGCAGGCCCGCGATCTTCTCGACGTACGCGAGCAGCGCCGTCGTGAACCCGCCCTCGGCCGCGCTCGCGACCTTCGACCCCGCTTCCCGGCCCGCTTGAGTCGTGTGGTACAGCTGCCGCAGCTCCTCCTGGCTCACGCCGCTCGCGCGCGACAGCATGCGGAGCGCGTCTTCCACCGTCTCCGTTCCCACGGAGGGCAGCGCGACCTGCCCACCCTTCGTCATCATGCTCTCCCAAGCTAAGATCCGCGTCTTAGATGTCAGTTCTCACACGATCAAGGCTTCAAGGTCCAATGTTGAAGATACAAGATTTGCGGTTGAACTTCGGCAGCGCCGCCTCACATATCCCGCCGTCGGCGAGATGTGTTCTGCCGTCCGAGGGGCCGACTCGGAGCCGATGGCCCGGTCTCGGACAGCGTCGCCGGCGGGTGCGTGAACTCCGAGTCGCCCAAGGTGGTGAAGGCGACTCGGAGCTGATCGCGCGGGCCTCCCTTCCGGCAGCTCTCGCGCTGCGGCCCTCGCAGATACTCTTCGCGGCGCGGAGGCCGATGATGTGGACGCCGACCGAGGAGAACACGAAAGGAAGAGCTCTCGCTTCTTCGTGAACCACAATTTGAGTTCACGGTCCGAATTAATCCGAAGCACCGCGAAGCAAAATCGTGCGGCACCCACGGTGCACCACCCCGGCCAGACCGAGTCAAGCCGCGTCGTCGGCCGCCGGCACGTCCGCCGCTCGACCCCGCGGGTCCAACGCGGCGCCCCGCGCCGTCCCCCCGTGCACCGCCGCCCGTTTCGTCGACCCGCGCGCCGGACCCCGACGAATCCCGAAGCCGCGGCGACACTTCATGCGATGAGCGGTGCGGCTCGCCGTAAGAGCGCTCGAAAGGCCCCGGACCCCCCCGCGGCCGCGGACGCCCCGCGCCGGAAACTCTGCAACGCCGCCACCAAGGGCCGGCGCGCGGTGCTGCGCGAGGCCATCCCGGGCGTCACGGCCCCCGCGATCCGCCGCCTCGCGCGCCGCGGCGGCGTCGTAAGAGCGGCCGGCCTCGACTACGCGCGGCGCATGCCCGCGACGCTCTCCGCGCCGCGCAGCCGGACGCCGACGCCGCCGCCCGTCGTCGAGAAGAGCGACTACGAGAAGGAGCGCGACGCGCGCATCGCGCGGAACGCGGAGTTCCTCAAGTCGCTCGGCCTCGGCGGCGGGTCCGGCGGCGCGCTGTCCGCGAGCAAGCCGAAGAAGCCCAAGGTGTCGACGCCCAAGCCCAAGGCGACGCCGAGCCGCCAGTCGAGCCGCAGCGAGCACAAGCCGGGCATGTACGCGGTGTCGCGGACGGGCGCGCAGCGCTCCGCGGAGGAGATCGCCGAGGCGCGCGAGGAGAAGGAGCAGACGCGCCTCGAGAAGCTCCTCCGGCGCGCGGACCGCGCCGCCGCCAACGCCGTCGCCGACGACGCCAAGCACGCGAACCGCGAGCGGCGCCACGAGGACGCGCGGCGCCACGCGCTCGAGCAGGCCGTGCTCCAGGAGCAGCGGCGCGTCCTCTTCCAGCACCAGCAGCTGCTCCGCGCGCAGCAGGTCGAGCTCCGGCGCCAGCAGCGCGTCCAGGAGCGGGAGGAGCGCGAGCGCCAGGTCGAGGAGGACCGCAAGGCCGCCGCGCTGAAGCGCGACGCGGAGCGCGCGGCCAGGGTCGCGGACCGCGCGATGGCCGCCATGGCCGTGCGCGACGCGCGGCGCGCGGAGGCCGACCGGAAGCGCGCCGCCAAGGACCTGGCCAAGTCCGAGCGGTCCGCCGAGGTCCAGCGCCAGCGCCTCGAGGCCAAGGCCCAGCGCGAGGCGCTCGCGGAGGCCAAGGCCCGCGCGCGGCCCCGGGGCCGCGGCGGCCGCGGCCGGAAGCGGTGCCACGGCGAGCCGTCGGGCCTCCGCGTCCGCGTCGCCGTGTCGCCGAAAGGCGCGCGGTCCAAGAAGCGGCCGCGCGACGTGCCGCTGCGCGTCAAGCGCGTGGCCCTCGTCCTCGGCGGCGCCGCCGTGCGCGCGGGCGCGGGGTCCCTCGACGACGACGACGACGGCGACGGCGGCCCGCGGAAGCCGCTCGCCGCGCTGCCGCACGGCCTCTGGCCCGAGCCCGTCGTCGTCCGCTACACGGCCCTGGCGCCCGTCGCCGACGTGCCGCTGCGCGTCAAGCGCGTGGCCCTCCTGCTCGGCGGCGCCGTCGTGCGCGCGGGCGCGGGGTCCCTCGACGACGACGACGACGGCGGCGGCGGCCCGCGGAAGCCGCTCGCCGCGCTGCCGCACAGCCTCTGGCCCGAGCCCGTCGCCGAGGCGCCGGCCCCGGCGGACGGCGGCGAGGCGCCGGCGGACGGCGAGGCGCCGGCGGACAACGGCGAGGCGCCGGCGGACGGCGGCGAGGAGGCGCCGGCGGCCACGGCGGAGGCGGCGGACGGCGGCGAGGAGGCGGCGGACGCCGACGCGGCCATGGCGGAGGCGCCGGCGGCGGACGCCGACGCGGCCATGGGCGAGGCGCCGGCGGACGCCGCGGTCGAGGCCGCGGACGCCGGACCCGACGCCGAGCCCGACGCCGCGGACGCGCCCCTCGACGCGTAAAGAGTGCCCCCTCGTCGGAAGCCCGAGGATTATAGGCAAAGCGCCGGGCGCGACTTGGTGCGCCCGGGGGCGCGAGCGCCCCTAGTGGGCGTGCATGCCGACGCACTCCTTGAACGCGCCGTCGATGACCTCGGACAGCGTCGGGTGCGTGTGCGTCGTGAAGGCGAGCTCGCGGACCGTCGTCCCGGCGGCCTTGGCGTTGGCGCACTCCTGGATGAGGTCCGCGGCGTGGAGGCCGATGATGTGGACGCCGAGGATCTGCTCCGTGTCCTTGTTGAAGAGCACCTTGGCGATGCCGTCGCCCTCGCCCTCCGCGAGCGCTTTGGAGTTCGCGCGGAAGTGGCCCACGGCCTTGCCGAGCTCGAAGCCCTCGGCCTCGGCGCGGTCCTTCGCCGCGTCCTCGTCGATGCCGACCTGGGCGACCTCCGGGTGCGTGAAGCACGCCGCGGGGATGTCCTCGTGGTTGACGACGTGCTTGCGGCCGCAGATGTTCTCGATGGCGCTGACGCCCTGGGTCGACGCCGTGTGGGCGAGCATCTGGATGCCGTTGGCGTCGCCGATGCAGTAGAGGTGCTCGTCGGCGACGGCGCCGCCGGGGCCCGCGAGCACGCGCATCGTCTCGTCGACCTGCACGAAGCCCCGCGGCGTCTCGATGCCGTGCTTGTCCAACCCGAGCTTGCCCGTGTTCGGCACGCGGCCCGTGGCGACCATGCACGTGTCCACCTCGAGGACCTCGACGAGCTCCTTCGTCTCCGCGTCGATCATCTCGATGACGACGGGCTTTTCGCCGAGCTTGCCCGGCGTCACCTTCGACGCGAAGACGCCGGTCCGGTAGTCGATGCCGCGCGGCGTCAGCAGGAGCCGCTCGGCCTGCTTGGCGATCTCGCGGTCGAAAGCGGGCATGAGCTTGGGCAGCGCCTCGATGAGCGTGCACTCGGAGCCGAGCGCCGTGTAGACGTCGGAGAACTCGAGGCCGATGATGCCGCTGCCGATGATCGCGCAGTACTCGGGCACGTGCTCCAGGCGCAGGCCCTCGTCGGACGTGTAGACCGTCTCGCCGTCGATGGTCACGCCCGGCGGCACGAAGGGCACGGAGCCCGGGGCGAGGATGATGTCCTGGGCCGTGACCTTCTTGCCGTTGCCGAGCTCGACGGTGTTGGGCCCGCCGTACGCGCCGAACTCGGGGATGAGCTCGACGCCCAGGCGGCCCAGGGACCCCTCGAGGCCGCCGCGGACCTTGTTCACGAGCTGCTCCGCGTGGGCCGCGATGCCCGCGCGGTCGAACTCGACGCCGCCCGGCACCGTGATGCCCATGGACCTACGACGCGCGATGGTTCCTTGGGTGCCCGGTCGACAGCTCTCGAACGTCGCCGCGGCCGCGGGACGCCGCCGTCGACTCCAAATGCTTCTCGTCGCCCATGTCGCGCACGCGGCCCGACGCGGCGAGGAGCGCCTTCGACGGCACGCAGCCCCGGTTCACGCACGTGCCCCCGACGTCGCCGCCGGAGAGCACGGCGCAGCTCAGGCCCTGGGACCGCGCGTGCAGCGCCGCGCCGTGGCCGCCGACGCCGCAGCCGACGATGACGACGTCGTAGTCGAAGTCGTGCATCTGGAGGGCCGACCGCGAGGCGCGCACCGACCGCGCGGGCAGCTTGGGCACGAGGCCATGGGCGAGGGCCGTCAACGCAATGAGCTTCCACGCCATAATCGTACGTCGCGGCGCGTCGAGGCCTTCAAGCTCGCGAGCTCCGACGAATATTGAACTCCAGCGTGCCTTGCACTTGTAGACGATGGCAGCCCCAGAGACGCCAGCCCCGCCGCCCGCCAATCCAGCTCCGCTGCCCGTCAAGCAAGCCCCGGAGTACCTCTACTCGTCCTGCGTCGCCGCGTGCGCGGCGATGGCGGCCTACGCCAACAACGCCTGGCAGATGCAGTGCCTCGCCGCGCTCGTCTGCGCCTACGTCGGCGGCCTCCTCTACCAGAACCGGCGCCGGCTCGGCGAGCCGCCCGTCGCCTGGTCCTGGTTTCCCACGGGGCGGCGGCGCCGCCTGGGCGACGGCCCGCCCCTCGTCGCGGGCAGCGCCGAGTGGCGCTGGGCGGAGGCGGTCTGGGACTTCATGAACGTCGGCCACGCGGTCGAACCCGCCGACGGCATCCTCGTGCTCTGCAGCCACGACGTCCGCGTCGCCGACAAGGCCGTCGAGCTCTACGACGCGGGCATGGGTCACTATATCTGCTTCTCCGGCGGCTTCGGCGCGGGCCCCCACAGCGGCGCGAATTTGAACGGCTGGACCCGGCCCGAGGCCGACGTCTTCGCGGACCGCGCGCGCGCCGCGGGCGTGCCCGAGGACGCCGTCCTCGTGGAGAACGCGGCGACGAACACGGGCGAGAACTGCCGCTTCTCCGCGGCGCTCCTCGACCGCGCGGGCCGGGCCCGCGGCTCGCTGATCGTCGTGCAAAAGCCGTTCATGGAAAAAAGAAGCTACGCGACGTTGCTGAAGCAGTGGCCCGGAAAAACGCCGCGCGTCGCCGTCACCTCGCCGTCCATCTCCTTCATGGACTACCCGGACGCCCATGTCTCCCGCGAGGCCGTCGTGAGCATCATGGTCGGCGACCTCCAGCGGCTGCGACTCTACGCGACGCCCGAGCGCGACTTCCAGGCCCCCGTGGCCATCCCGGACGACGTCTGGGCGGCCTACGAGGGGCTCGTCGCCGCGGGCTACGACGGCAACGTCCTCAAGTAACACGCGAATCTTAGTCGTCCTGCCCCGGGCCGATCTTCCGGACCTCCTTGAGCCGCGCGCGCATCTCGAGCAGGTCCTGGCACCGGAGGTACTTGGGCGTCTGCGACCGGATGGAGAGCAGGAAGCAGCCCGTGTCGAGCTTCTGGTCCCGCAGCCGCGACACGGCCGTCGCGTCCGCGCACAGGTTCTGCACGTACCTGCGGCCGCGCGCGCTACCGCGCGCGCCGCTCCCCGGTCGCCGGACGCCGGCGCCGCGCTGGACGACGAGCTTCTCGACGAGGGCCACGGACTCGACGTTGGGCTTCTCCGCGTCGCCGAAGCCGTACCTGCGCGGGCGTCGTTGCGCACGGTCGCGCGCGCCCGCGGCGCCGGCGGCGCACATCATGCCGACGAGGTCGCTCTGGAGGTTCACGTTGCGGCCGCGCGACCGCTTGTTGTCGCTCGACATGCTGTCTGGCAAACGCGGCGCGCCGCGGCGGCGCGCGGCGGCCGGGTGGAGGGCGGGAACGCGCTCAGGCCTGGCGTCCAGGCTCTCTCTTTTTACCACTTTTTGCTCGCTTTGATTCTTGCGGTTTTGCTTGAATGCTTTGTGGTAAATCCATCGAGCGAAGCATGTTAGGCTGCCATGTTCTGCATCGCCGCGGCCGGGAGCGTCGTCCTAGCTGCTAACTAGAGGCGACACACACCCACAAATGTCGGAGCTCGACCTCCACGCCCTCGCCGCGGCGCAGTCGCCGATTTTATTCCTCGACGTCGACGGCGTGCTCAACACGTCGCAGATGCCCGGCAAGCACGCGCTGCACCCCAAGCTCCTGCGGCGCCTCAAGGGTGTCGTCGACGCCACGGCCTGCGACATCGTGCTCAGCACGACGTGGCGGCTCCAGCGGGAGAACGAGGGCGTGCTGCTCGCGGCGCTCGAGGCCGCGGGCATCCCCCGGGCGACGGTCGCGGGCCGCACGCCGTCGCTCGGCGTCCAGGACCTGCGCTGGCACACGGGCGGCGCGAAGCGGCTCGGCGAGGCGCGGCGCGCGGCGGAGATCGTCGCGTACCTCGACGCGCGGCCCGAGATCACGACGTTCGCGGCTGTGTGGAAACCAAATCTTCAACCCGACTTCAATGTGCGCATAATCGAACGATTTGGACCAGAAACTTCCGCTGTGCTTCGAGAACTCGATGAGAGCGATCGATTCGTCCAAAAGTCAGCCGAATCGACTTCGATTTGACCGAGCTAGAGAATTCTCAAGTTTGGCCCCGACGTCCCAGCTCACTGGTTGATTTCCACACAGGTTCGCGGTCGTCGACGACATCGACGTCCTCGCCGTCGACGACGAGACCATGCGCGCCAAGCTCGCGCCCCACTTCGTCCGCACGATGGTCGAGAGCGGCCTGAGCGAGCGGTGCTGCGAGCGCCTCGGCGCCGTGCTCCGGGGCACGCCGATCCCCCAGAAGTCGTGCTAGTTAGACGTCTAGACGCGGACGCCACCGGGCGCGTCGACGGGGTGCGCCTCGCCGGCGAGGCCGTCGGCGTCCGTGCAGCCGCCGCAGGCGAGGAAGTTGAGGTAGCCCTCGACGAGGCGCGCGTCCCCGCCGGACCCGCGGCGGACGATGGCGAGCTCGTCCTCGGACCCGGAGAACGTGTCCTCGACCGCCGGCGCCGCGGCGTCGTCCTCGCGGTGCACGGCGTCCGCGACCTGGTAGAAGAACTCCTCGCGCTTCGCCGGGGACTTGGGCGGCGACTCCGGGTCCACCGCGTCCGGCGCGGGCCCCCCGCGCAGGCCCGCGCGCCGCAGGGCCGAGTCGTAGAGCCGCGCGACCGTGATCAAATCGAAGTCGAAGCCAAAGTCGACGTCGAAGGCCTCGAGGTCGTCCATGACGATGGACGCGATGCCCGCGAGCGGCGCGACGACGACGTTCAGGAAGACCATGAACGGCGCCGCGACGGGCGTCGGGATGCCCGTCGACACGTCCTCGTCCTCGATGTTCGCGTCCGCGTGGAGGACCAGCGTGAACAGTAAATTCAAGAACAGGAGCCCCTGCATGAAGTTCGCGAAGGCGTCCATCGTGTCCGAGATGAAGGGCCGCAGGTACGCGTAGAGCGACGCGAAGAACAAGGCGGCCATGCACGCGAAGACGATCTGCCCGAGCGACTCCGCGTGGATCACGGGCACGGGCAGCACCGCCGTCAACAGCAGCCGGCGCACGCACTCGAGGCACTCGAAGTACCAGCAGGGCGGGTCGTACTCGCCGAACAGGAACTCGAGGTGCGCGCTCGAGTCCTCGATGTCGCGCGACGTGATGACGAGCTCGTGGCCGAGCACGCGGCACGTCGCCGCCGCCGCCGCCGCCGTCGCCTGCGTGCGCCGCGCCGTCTTGCCGTTGACGTAGTCCTCGAGCTGGTAGTCCGCGCCGGCGACGGCCAGCGACGCGCGGCTCCGGTGCGCCTTGAGCGCGGGCACCTTGCGCTCCGGCGCTTTTTCGGCGTCGGCGCTGAGGCGCCGCGCGAGGTCGCGGTCGCCGACGTCCACGAAGTCCGCGACCGTGCCCGTCGTCTCCTGCGCGGCCGCGGGCCCCCCGCCGTGCGGCGCCTGGAAGAAGAACTGCTCCGCCTCGCCGGCCGTCGCTTTCGCCTCCGCGCGCTTGTAGTCCTTCGTGGCCTTGGACGTCACGGACCCCCGCCGCCGGATCGAGTCGTACATGGACGCGTCCCCGGCGCGCGCGAGCGGCGTCTCCGCGATGACCTTGTTCTCGCGCTCCGCCTCGCCGCACTCGCGCACCGTCGCCAGGTACTCGAAGGCCTGGCCCCGGAGCTCTCCTCTTTTAATCGCCAATAGCAGGTCCTCCTCCTGCTTCCGCTTGTAGAATTTCAGGAGCGTCGCGCCGATCCACCCGCTGTGGCGCTCCTCCTCCTCGTCCTCGTGCTCCAAGAACTTCGTGACCTCGCGGCGCTCGCGCCGGATGTCCGCGCCGACGTTTTCCGTCTCCTCGACGATGCGCTCCGCGAGCAGCGTGATGTTCGACGGCGCGATCGTGTCCTTGGCGCCGAGGAGCATGAAAAAATAAACAAAAGGGATGCCCACGGGGTAGCAGAACACCATCAGGATCGCGTAGACGCGGTGCAGCGCGTAGCGGTTCGATTGGCAGGACACGGAGTAGTCCGCGTAGAGGTACGCGTCGCGGTAGTAGCGCGAGTGGACGCTATCTTTAAAATCGTCGTCGCACTGCAGGCTCCGGATGACGACCGTGGACGTCGTCGAGTAGACCGTGTAGGTCATCAACAAAAACACGAGGAAGACCATGCGCTTGAACGTCGCGCGGTCCTCCCTGTCCGCGCGCGTCCACGTCACCTGCGCGGACATCAAATCTTCAACCCGACTTCAATGTACGCGCATGTGAATGGTTTGACACGAGCACGTCCGCTGTGCTTCGAGAACTCGACGAGAGCGATCGATTCGTCCAAGAATCAGCCGAGTCGACTTCGACTTGGCCGAGCGAGAGCATTTCAAAGTTTGGTCGGGACGTCCCGAACCGGCGGTTGATTTCCACACAGCACGTCACGTAGAGCCCGTAGGACCCGAAGAGCGACAGCGCGACGCAGATGGGCGCGGCCGTCGCGGCGACGAGCGTGTGCAGATAGTCGAACTCGCCGACGCACGTGTCCGCGACGAAGTCGCCCAAGGAGATGCCCAGCGCGGCCGCGCGGCGCGCCATCGCCGCGAACGACGGGGGCAGGTTCACGTTCGGGAACGACAGCGTGATGGACCCCAGAATCTGGAAGAAGACGAGCAGCACCTTGCACCGCGCGACCACGACGATCGCCGCGTCCGACGCCGCCGTCAGCGCCGACGCCAGGATCATGGCCACGTCCTTGAAGCGGCGCAGCGCGCAGAACGTCGCCACGCCGAAGATGAAGAACACGCCGCCGACGGCGCCCAGAATCGCCCGGCCCTGGGTCCGCCCGCCGGCGTCGCAGAAGACGCACTTGCCCGAGGCCGAGTTGAGCTGGTAGCCGTCCTCGCAGAGCGCGCACAGAGGCCCCTCGTGGTGCCGCGTGCACTGCGCGTCGCTGTCGCGGATGGTCCCGTTGGGCCACAGGTCCACGCCGCCCGGGCACGCGTCCGCGAAGCGGCACCGCCGCGTCTCGCCCGAGTCGTAGGCGCTCCGCCAGAACTCGGCCTTGGCGACGACGTTCGAGCCCCCGGCGCACGTCGAGTGCTTCGGGCACTCCGCGCACGGCGCGCCCGCGACGACGGAGTAGGTGCCCGCGTCGCACTCGTAGCAGCGCTTGTCGGCCTGGTTCTCCTCGCCCGTCGCGCAGTCGCGCAGCGACATGGGCAGCTCGGAGAAGTAGGTCGCGTCGCCCACGGACGACTCGAAGCGCATGGCCACGGTCGACGCGGGCGCCTTGGTCATCGTCAGCGCGCCCGCGGCGTACGTCGCGACGCCCGACCCGAAGCCGTGCTGCAGCGCGCCGGAGTAGGCCGTCACGTTGTCGAGCCAGGCCATGAGCGTCGTCGTCGACGCGCCGCCGACGGTGCGCACGACCTGGCCGAAGCCGTCGAGCGCCTCGAGCACGACGGCGTCGGCCGTCGGCGCGCCGGACCGCTCGACGCCCGTGCGGTGGCTGGCGGCCACGCGCGCGACGCTCGACGCGCACAGGTTGCCGTAGAACGCGCGGTTCCCGTTGGCCGCGGCGCCGCAGACCTTGTAGGCGAGCCGGTAGAAGACGTCCGCCGACGCGCCGGCCTTCCCCGCGAAGTGCGCCGCGAGGTCGCTCGCGTTCAAGTCGCGCGCGGCCTCCTCGAAGAAGACGCCGCCGCCGCCTGTGCCGAATTAAAATCTTCAACCCGACTTCAATGTGAGCGTACGCGACAGTTTCGACGAGATCCATTCGGTTGTGCTTCGAGACCTCGACGAGAGCAATCGATTCGTCCAAAAATCAGCCGAATCGACTTCGATTTGATCGAGCTAGAGAATTCTCAAGTTTGGTCAGGACCACCCAA